ATCATGCAAGTTGTAGACTAGAATAGATCGTAAAAGCAAATGTCGCCGTAACGGCACACATTGGGTTGTTTACGACTCGGTGCGTCAATTATGGGTAACAATTACTAGCTAATTCGCATTCGCTGCTCTTCGAAGCTAATTAGGGCGTCAGCATGAACCCTAACCTGGTACACATACTATTTCCGGTGTCCGCCATCTTGGTTCACATACTACGAAATTATCAAAAATCTTCCTTAACTTTATGAAATGACTAGAACTGGTGTGCAAAATCTCTAAACTCCGATGATGGCATTGCCAAGCAATGGCTCTACTTTCAACGAAACATTTGGAAACAAATTTGACTATGAATAATTTGTTACGTTAAAATAAGCAAGTACTAAACTGATTAACAGCTATAATAAATACCAACCGAAGTTACAATTCACGAACACTTCGGCCTGAAATATTATAATTATAAAATGGCTTCATGCGTGCACTCAGTTATTTCCCATAAACCATCCATCATAAGATCTCTTTTGTGCATCAATACATTGTGTCTATACTCTTGATCATACATGTATGTATGTATATTCCTGAGAAGCGGGCGCAAAATGTGGACAATTCAAATAGTATATATTTTCAACTGTACTACTTCTATTCCAAATTTGTGGCCATAAATTTCATATATGGAGACGAGGGTCGCAGATTCGATACTTATTCTAGCAATGAGCACCAAGTTTGCTGACACAATCGGCGGACACAGTGTGACGAAGGCGACACAGTGTGACGAAGGCGACCTAGCGGGGCGGAAAAGAATGTTTCTCATTTATTAAAATTAAACAGCAATATCTTGATGAAGATCGGATCCAGCAGAATTTTGAAGAAATAATAGCTTCCCAGCGCTCCAGATATCTTTAAATACAGAAAATTTAAAACAGGGTGTTTTATTGGTTGCAGAATATAGCTATTTTCCAAACAACCAAAACAACAATATTAATAACAACATTATAGCAAAACGTCCACTTGGTGTCCAATAATAAAAACCATATACGTCGACTTGGTGGACTTATATCTGAGAGAGAAGAAAATTGTAAAAAAGGGGATCGAAGCGCATTCAAAATGCTATGCAAAAACTCAATTGAATATTTACTCAAATGTATTTTTCCACTTTCTTTTCATTGATTCCATATATTTATTTTATCCAAATTACTGGCGCATAAGGTACTTTCATTCTCTGATATTTGAGTTTGGTTTCTTGTTTCGAGAACATAATGATTGTAGGAGTTGGGAATATTAGGCCGCACCGTATTCACAATACTTCCCAGAAATATCTCGTTAAAATATGTTATAGATAAATCAAGAGTAGATATACAGAAGTTATTGAATTTTTTGGAAAAAATAGACGATAATGCTTCGACGCGAAACGTTACAGGGAATAGACCGCCTTATTTCTTTCACTTGATATTTCAGCCAATGGTCACAATAGCAGCATGCTGTTTTATAACATATCATCTTCATACTTTTGCTTCGTTCAAGTCTCATTTCAAACATAAACATTTTCTATGGAAATAGAATACCCAATTTCTCTTGCTATGGAATTTTGAAACGCAACATTCGATTTTTTTCTTGATATATGCTACGTGATAAAAGAAATACAAGAACCGCCCGAGCCGGCTCTTTTTCATGTTTTGTTTTTAAAGACTAATTATGACCTTGCATTACCCGTCAAACTTCAAAACCTAGACGAAAAAGACCAATTTTCAAGTTGCAGATACTTCCGTAAAATTATCTCAGTTGTTTCTTCAGTTTGAATTACATTCATGTAGACATTTGATGGCTACTAATGGCTATGTCTGATGGCTACGTCTGATATTTTTATATTACATCTTCAAAGTCATTCGAATGTCGATAATACAAACATTGTATATTCCAACATCGTCTAGATTAGAAGACTAGAATCTAAAAAAACTCGGTTATTTATCAGTCATTATTAGAAATCCCATCGATTTTACTATCGCTTGGTAGGTCATGATAAAGCGATCCTGTTATATATCAGAAATCGTGAAAGGGTTTCTTGGTAACAATAAGAGATGGGCTTTGCTTAGGGCAATTCCGATTTTGAACCATAAACATTTCGAGATTTGCAAAATCGGACTAGGTTTTCGGAGATAATTTCCGACGGACTTGTTGATTTGTAAATCATTATACGCCATGAATGATTCAAACGGAAACAATATTACCTTGATTTGTCGAATCCGCAGAATAGTAAAAAAAATTACACATTTTGGATAAATGAAAAATTTCTGTCTGTCGTCGAGATAAGAAAACGTTGACCGGGGCCTATCGCAAATCGGAAAATGCAATTACAAGTTTCAAGCTCCTACTTAATGCATTATATATTAGTCTCATAAATCTGGTCCGTCAAGGAAAACAAAAAACACTTTTTAGAGAAAATTTCCAGACATTAATTTTTCAAACTTTTGGTTTTTCACGCGTTCATTTTATAGCATGATTACTCGTGGACCATATGTGACCCTGTATATATCGGGTCTATATTCTATCCCACGTTTGATTAAGTATAGATAAAAAGTTATTACCAAGCAAGGAAAACCATATGCTAGGAATGGAACTCTGCAATGATTATATTTCCCTCTTTTTGAAACAGAATGTAGATCTTTAAAAGATTATTTCTGACATAAACTGTAATCTAAATTTCTTATCTGTCACTTTTCGTGTCGCCTCCCTTTAAACTAAATTATTTTAGCCCTCTTAAACTTTCAGGTGAATTGTGGCACAAATTTAATTTCCGATCTCCGAAAGCGACAAGTCAATTTGAGCTCTCTATCTTTCCAACAATCAAGATAATTTTTTAAACGAATTATTTACACCAAAAAGTCAAAGCGATGTTTTTGACTTTCAAATTCTTAGTTTTTGTTTGTTCAGGTCAGCATTTGTGGTTTATTATATGTATTTTTTTATGTATTTGCTTTGAAGTAGATAGATGCTTTGACAAGATGACCCAAAATAAACGTTCGCCAATATTTGAAAAAAAAATTGTTTGAGTGAATGTAGATGTGATAATTATACCAAATGGCAATTTATGTATTTGGGGCTTGAATATAAAAAACATATATAATTGATAGAAAAACATAACTTCATTAGAGAATAAATACTCAATACTTGCTTTTGTCAATATGCCACAGGAGATAAAACATAAATTTTATCATATTTTTGCAAAAAAAAATTTTGATTCGTCCAAATACAAGTTGCCCTAAATCCATTGAAAAGTTAAGTAACAGAAAATGCCAGATTGTTTTTTTTCAACTTTTCTTTAATCATTCTATTCCAATGAATAAGATTTAGCATACGTGAAACATTCACGAAAGCCATGAGACCATAACTCACTTAACATAATGTTATCAATCTCTTGTGAACATTTTCTTCGTTCACTCAATTAATTTGGATTAAAAGCGGATAACGAGACGATTAAAAGTCTTTAATCGATGTAAAGTATTAGCGCATAATGGACGTTAGGAAATATTATGATCCAACATATGCTATACATATGGTAACATAATTTAATTCCTTATAATTAAAATTGTATTTTATTATTGTCCTTGTTGTTAATAATAATATTTTAAAATTAAAGCAAAAATCGATTTCTATTACATGTTCTACAAAATAAATCAGTAAATATAACTGTATTGAATTAGATATTAAGTCGGAATTTGGCCGTTGCCGCGGGTGCTTTGTATCGATAAAAACATATACTGGATACTACTTATTTCCAGTAAAGTTGCTTTTGTTTTACATAGTATATGGATTGGATCCATTAGTAATGAAAATTCAATTGACGAATTGAACGGTTAAGGAAATCCCTGGAAGTTGTATTCGTCGCTCTAAATTTGTTATTGGAAATGTGTTATAAGCATTTAAGAGTACGAATTTCGTAATTCCAGGTTGGCATTCGAGAAAATGAAAAATTTCAATTATAGGAGTCGGGGACGGCTATGCAGACGTTAAAATCACCACATTCATAACTCCCCCCCCCCCCCCAAATAGCTAATCGAATCCCCAGAAGAGTTTGAAGTTAAAACAAAAATAGGCTTTACCAAATAAAATAAGTAAATCACACCCTAAATGCGCGTGACTAGAATAGGTTTACTATCAGAAATAATTACTTATAATTGCGTAATGAAGAAAAATATTTTACCGGTTAGAATCGAGCCGTTTTGAAATTTAACCCGCACTCTTTTAGGAAATAATACCGTATAATGACGTGGTGATTTTTTTTTTATTATTATTAATGTAGTATCAACCTGTTTTGATAATTGCTGCTATGGTAGGAAGAAACAAGAAAATGTTTAGAATAGGAAATAATAAAGTATAAACAATAAATGAATAATCACAAAAATAGTCACACACCCCCAGGTAATGTTTAGCAATAGAAAAGTCGCATTGATGTGCTCAAAGTTATAGATATCGTTAGATGGCAGTTTCCAATCGATCCCAGGCAAAATTGTTAGGAAACAGCTAGGCTGAATTAAGTTAAACAATTCAGTAATTCGTAGATAATAAAAAATATTAGTTGGCCTAAAAATCTTCTTGACAATTGGGGACAATGTGCTAAATATTCCTGAGTTATACCATTCTACAAGAGGCAATTTCAACAACTGGCACAAAGAAATTAAAACGAATTTAAATTAACTTTGTTGTTTCACACTTGCATTGATTGTTATTACGCAAATTATAATATATTAGCAAATCAAATAACTCAAATGAATATTAAAATAAAAATCAATACAAATCATCAACACAAATGCATTAGTTACTCGAAGGAGAGAAAGAGCGAATTTTTTCAGACACAAAATGGCGCCGACATAAATACGCATGGTCCGTTCCTTGCAAATCAGATTATCTAAAATGCAGGGTATATCGATGTTGCTGTTCATTTGGAAATTGAGCAATAAAGACTGTATGGATATATTGGAAGTTGACTATCAAACAAACATGAGGAAAGGGCTATATAAAGAATAAGTTAATGTCTTGTATTCTTTTTACAACATGCAATGCTCAGGTTAATAAGTAATCTTAAAAAACATCTTCGCAGTGTTTAGAGAAACGTTTCCCGTCCACGGAGGAACATTGCCGTTTTGGTGAAGGAATGTTGCTTTGTATTCGCTGTAGTATCACCAATATTTTTTTAATTTTTTATTGTTTCTATAATACTTGTTTACAAACACATGATAAACTACTTGAACTGCTCAAAAATGGGAGTTTGGCTTGCGCATAACACTGCGAGGGGTCTATCAAGATTGAACAAATAAAGTAGTTTTATGCATACTGAGGGCGGAAAAAAGAATTCCAAAATAGAAAAAGGAATTTAACTAAAACGGTTGATTTGGAGCATTGCGATTATGGATTGTTTTTAATACTCTTGATATTGTTTTAACTGTAATTACACTGTCTTTACATTTATAGCATCCCTATGAGAAATTGCCTCAGATGATTCAAAATCCATGATATAATTTGGAATTGAGCTTAAGTGAAATATTATATATCGTGTATATTACCGTGTACTAATTTGAACTATAAAATTTATATTTCATGTTTACAGCACGATATTTTATTTTTCAAATAATATTACTATGTCACTATCCAGCGCTAATGCTGTTGACACGGCTGGGGTGGAAAGAGAGAGCCATGCTATTTGGAAACCTATAGATTTGTCTCAGTCTTCAAAAGCGGTATCAATACATTGGGAGTCAACCAGCTATGGAAACTTTCCACGGAGAACCGAAGAAAAAACAAGCCAACAAAAGGTTCTTAAATTGACCACCCCTAGTGAAGAAACACGAGATATTTGTGGAAAGCACGTAAAAGGACATGTTTCGGCAGAACCTTCTCCAACAAAACAAAAAACGGAATTAAAGTTTCGGAAATCGTATTCGTGTGACGATATATCGACGATAGGGAGAGAAATCGCTAAGGAAAAAGAAACATCTACGTTCAAAAGTATGGACAATAGTAACCCCATAGAAAATTCCGAGGAAATACGTGCAAAACCTTCTGCTTCAAATCATCCTATGCCTGTGCAAAACGAGATCAACCTCGAGAATGATTCTATAAATTTCAATACACAAAATGCATATTACCTTGCATCATACGAACAGTACATTCAAAAAATGCTACACTCTGTAAACTTGCCAGAGTACAATAAAACAGAATTCTATCGTCAACTAATGCTAACAATGTTAATGAGTTATACCCAAGATCCCAGAAATATTAACTCGTTATCCACGGTTATTAACCCGTTTGCAATGGCCCAACAACCTGAAAAAATTCAACAAGAATTACACAATAAAGTGCTTGCATCATCAATAGAAAAATATTCTGACACAAGATATGTCGCGAGAAAGCGGAGTTTGATAAAATCGCCACACAACGAAACTGATAATGACGAAGAGATAATAGTTGATGAAACAGTGGAGCAATATGGAAACAACACAAATTCTAAAGGAAACAGCCAAGACAAATATTACAAGCGCCATTTTAGCAATCAGAGTAACGAACCAAAAGAAATTCAACAAACAGACGACCAAATGGACACAATTAAAAATCAAGGTATTTTTAGAAATGGCACCAGTCATATTAAGATTGAAACAAAGGATGATCAAGATACAACGAGTTCAAATCATTTGATGCCCATTCGCAGTGAATATAATCACCAATATTCCGGAGAGTTTGATGACACAACTCCAATGGCTAAAAGTTATACAACAGGAGGACGTAACCAGCATACTACACAACGTTCCGAACAGAACTGGTTCAAAAATTCAGTCATCGACAGACATGAATACGAAAAAAACAGTGAGTAATTTACCCTAAATTTCTTAAAAACCAATTCGAAGTTTCAATCATTTTAAAATATAGTATTGGAATGGTATTGATAATTATTTTTGTAGAACATATATATATGTCATTTTCAACATTTCTGATGAATATTTGCACAATTACAATGATGGAAGAGAGCTTTAAGGTCTAAAAACCTGGATTTATGTTAAAGCTGAGATTTTCATCAATGGTAATACTGTATTTTAATAACCCAAATATTAATATTTTTCAAATTTCCAGAAAGTTCTCCAGAGAAAAAACATCGGAGAAATCGAACGACGTTCACAACATATCAACTGCATGAACTAGAAAAAGCTTTTGAAAAATCCCATTATCCGGATGTCTATAGCAGAGAAGAACTAGCAACAAAAATTAGATTACCAGAAGTCAGAGTACAGGTACGCTTCGTTCAAATTTCCACCATTTTATCCGTATTGTCGCAATTTCGAACAAAAACTGATTTATGAGACTGAGAATGTTAGGGCCTCATTGAGGCTAAGATTCACAGATATAATACCACATTGACAATGAGTCTTATACATATTTTGTTTATATTTCAGGTATGGTTTCAGAATCGACGGGCAAAATGGCGTAGACAAGAAAAAGTAGATATCAGACATACAGTTATGGATTACGAAAACACTACTCATAGATTGAACAGTAAGCTGTCGTATTATGAGAAAGACACAATCAAATTTCGCGTTTATTTCTTTTCAGGGCTCTTCTACTGCCATTAATAGCATTTTATAAATTCATGGAATGCACTGAATGTTTATGAATATATATGCTGTACGGCTTGCCCTCAAATATCGTATAAACCCTTATTCAAATGAAGTTACGCACTAGAATAAACTATTATCTTATAGCTTAGATTAGTATCAGATAACATCATTTTATTTCAATGTAAGTATTATCATTTAATATGAAAATAAATTGTCACTCTTTCCATTTAGCAACTTCTCATTTTCAAACGCCAAGGAAGGATACAGCGCCACTTTTGCTTGCTTCTAACGGTGCCGGATTTCTTCTTCAAGCAGCCAAGCAATGATGTGCTGTTCAATATTGTGACGTAAAGACAGAAAGACGAAAATTCAGCGTGTCGCTTTTTTATTTAAATTCATTTGTTTTGTAAAATATAAAGTTTGAAAAAAAGTGTTTTGTTCTATTTTTACTAAGGTAATCTGACGTAGTTGGGAACGAACGCACAGTGCCTTCCAATATAACCAAATTCACCTACATCTGTTTTTCTAATTATAATTCAATTGTTGACTCGTTGAATAAATAGCTGTTCTCAATAAAATCTGTTTCCTAAGGAATATAATCTACTCCTCGAGCATAGATTATAATATTAATTAATTCATCGTCAAAATCGCCGATTTGTCGCTATAATTCAGTGAAGCGTCGCGGGCCGGATTATTTTACTCCGCGGGACCTAGCTCTGAATTTTAAGAACGATTTCAATATATAAAAAAATAAAAATAAGACCTAGTCAATAGCGCGAATTTTTTTTTACCTAATCGATAGCAATAAATCTCTCCGACACGTTAAATGATTAATCTAAAACGTGTGAGAGAGGAAAACGTGTCATTTAAGTAAATTGATATCGGTTTTCATATTTGAAAATCTCGTAATTCTCTACTTTGTAATTTTGTTTTTGATGAATGAAAATAAAAAACATCCCCCGAAAATAAGCCCTAGTGTTATTTTGGAAAGAAAATTGGAATAAGACACTGTCTTATTTTTGGGGAAACACGGTATATGTTGTATGGTGCAAAGTAATCAAGGAAAATCAAAAAACGTGTGGTAATTTAGATCGGGACAATACAAACAATAACAAAACAGTTCGAGCATCGCTCGCAGCTCCTCACCAAACGCGGATTCCGGTTGTCAATATCGTAGGAGTGAGGTGGGAGTTCAATAGGCTAATGACAGCACTTTGTTCGGGTGATGTCAAATAAAAACAAGATGCGCTTAGATGTAGTTTTACGAAAGTGAGTTTATGTGTGGTTTAAAAACATTGTACTTGCGAAAGGCGTTCCTGTTCGTGAAAGCAATCAGCAGCTTCGCAGTCATAGTCAGGCAAATTGCCCAAAACTGTATAAGCAAAGGTCAGACGTCATAATCTGTTCTGAGGGATTGCTACAGATCTTCCAGTGAATCACCACCTTAAGTACTTTAATATAGCTATTTTTATATATACATTACAGTTTTTACCCGCATTCTTTTGTTTAAAAGTCTTGAGTTCAATTTGCTAACATTTTAAAAATCTTCAAGTATCAACAGATCAAAGACAAAGGATGAACCAAAGTGAGGGATGTTCTTCGGAGTTCAAAAACAGATTAGAATATTTGGAATTCTCGCCATGTAAAGGTATGCTACGTACTACTACGATTCGTGTGTCTTACCATTAATACGCATTTCCAATAAATACTTACCTCAAAAGCGCTGCCATGCACTAATTTACCGTAGCCAATAACGTTTAATTGCAGGTATATTGTCGCACTTGCATAACGACCCATTTTAATTTATTACACTGTATATTGGATGACTCAGAATTGTAGTCTACGGCTCTACGCCATCCCCGAATACTTTCCAGATCATTGAATAGATAAGAGATCCAACCCTGCGCCTGAAATAAATTATATCAAATATACCTCGAAGCCTACGAGGTTGACTACGCAGACTTCGTGAACTGTTTGGATGGCACTATTGCAATATACTCTTCATAACGTGTTTGGATAGGATCAAGTCATAAAACAAGGCACCTTTTACCGGTCATTTATCTTAGACTATCACGAAGTGCATATTCTGATTCATTCATGCTAGATTTTTGTTTTCGTATCACAAGCTGAGATGCGTATATGCAGCAGAGCTACTGTGATAATAGTGGTTTATTATCGGGTTGACTGCACTTTCTAAAGAGGCACAACTGTTTCAAACCTTTTAGCAATATGTAATTGTATTCTTGGTACAAGATTAATACACAGGTGAAGATGCTTGTAGCTTCTTTTTAACGAGTTCACTTGATGCCAAAACAATTTTAATGTTTTTCGCTGTGATCTTGTAGGATATATTTTGTTAAAAATACTAATATTCCCTTCAATCTCGTCAAGTTTTTCATACATATATATATCATTTTTTTTTATTATCATCTCACAGACAAGGACGTTTCTTCACTTGTACCTGGAATCAACAAATGGAGTACTGAAGATCACAGTAATGACATTCACAGCGAATTCCGACCAAGACTGCATTCGTCACCTTACGTTGACGAGAATTTTGTTGGTCGTCTACGTACGATAAACAAAGAGAAGCAACGTTTTCAACCTGTGCCCTTTTTATCCATCGACGACGAAAGTTCTCACATCCTAACAACACCGCACCTGTCACATTATACATCAAAAGAACATGCAGAGCAGTTTACGGATTCCGGGGTTGATTCTGTCGTCGGTTTACAACAAACGCGCTTCTATGACAATCTATCGTCCCGTGGCTACCCAGCAGACTCTGGCGTTGTGTCGTCTGTGGGACTTGGTTCCTTAGGCAGTTTATATCATAGTAATGATACTGGCGAATTCGAGGCTATCGAAAAGCGCGCGGAAGAAGAAAAATATGCTTTCGACCCGCTCGCGCCACCTTTTAAGCCGAGGAGTACCGTAACAACAACGCATGACCTACAATTTGATAAAAGCAATGTCATGGCAATAGACGTAGCAAATTACGTGTCGTCCAAGTACAACAAAAAGCCTGTTTTGGAAGAAGCCCGCTTACCATTTTCCGATATTACAAATCATATATCGGATTTACCCGAATTGAAAATGACAAGTAGAATTCCAAAAGCAGGATTATCCCATGAGCCGAATTCGAACACGTTAATTCCTCCTTCCTCAAACTGTTATTGGTCAACAACAAACGAAACAACATCTAAAATTGTTCTCTCGACTTCAGTCAGCACAAATGTTGCTGCGTCTTCGCGAGAGAAAATGCCTGTTTTGAGCGACATAGTAACTTCTGACAGCGTACTACGGCAACCTGCAATTGCGAAATTGGAAGAACCCAATCCAATCACAAATGGAATAAAGAATTCACCACTTGCGAAGACCTGGATATCACCACGTTTTGGAGACGCTACGAATTCGAAAGTTATGACTGCTAAATCAATTTCTCCTACACCCTCTTTTCAAAATAGAAAGGAAAACATACAAACAGAAAATATGTCAACAATATCTAACCCATTCGATCTTGGACTTGGTCTCGCCACAGGCAGCAACATCTCTGTTTGGAAGGATTATGACCTTTTAAATCCGCATGAAAATCTAAAGACTTCGGCGTCACATAATGATGATGGGAATTTGGACTCCAAGTGGAGGGTGAATCAGAATCTTTTTCGCATGAACTCTCTCTCTAGTCAAAGATACACGGGTGAGTTTGTTGTAATGTGTACTATATATGCCACAGCATACTAGTCACAATTTTTTTTAAAATAGCTTTGATGTGGAGACAAACAATTCATAGTTTATGTTATGATCAAACTAGTTCACCATTTGTTTTAGATCTGCAAAATCCACAGAAGAAAGTAACATTTGCTGATATTGTACAAGCCGGAATCAGGGCGATAAACAGACAAAAGTAAAGATTGTATTTATTAATCTAGTTAACAAATAGTTAGTTATAAATTCATGTAAAAAGAGCATGAAACAGCCAAACGCTGGAACAATAACTGCAATGAAAAAAGCAAAAATTAGATTTCAAATAATAAAACTTTCGTCAAGTTCTTTGTAGAACGAAATGTAGTTTTTCAGTTGTTGTGTAAGCAGCCAAATATAATGAACTCGTAACATTGCATACTTGCATAAATGTGCTTTTCCGTTGGAAATTTTTATTTTTACAGAGCCGAAAATCCGGATTTTTACGCCCCCACCTATGAACCATCATCATCTTCAGCCATGGAACCGCCCACTATTCTTCATGTGACGACATTCGATCCAAATCACGAGCGAAATGATATCTTTGTCGATACGGGGAAACTGAAGAATGGTATTTAAAACAGATTACTGTGTGTTTAATTTATGCCACTCATACCTGTATTCTTATTTTAGATGAGCAAGAAACGCACAAGCCTTCGAAGTATCGGACAGAGCCATGCACAACCTTTCATACGATCGGCGTTTGTCCATATGGTACACGTTGCAATTTCTATCACACGGACGCAGAGCGAAACGAACTTCCGACCCTTTCCAGTGCAATGAGGCAAGTTAACTTATATAGCAGGAAAATGAATTTGCGACCTTGATCCTTTCCTAATGACCCTTCAATGTAAATTCGGGTTTCAGCTATTTACTTTTTTCAGGTACAAAACAAGACTTTGCAAGACCTGGCAAAAGGCGGGAGAATGTCCATATGGGAATAAATGCGACTTTGCTCACGGTAAGCTAACGAAGCTTTCAGTGTTTGCCCAATATAAATCAAACGAAATTATATAAGCCACTATGTTATATTTTCCCGAAATGCAATTTTAAACTTGAAGAAAAAAAACTGTTCTAAATTACTATTATTTCTTATAAACCAGGTACTGACGATTTGGCTTCCAATTGCCCATACAAACCTCATTATAAAACTAGGATGTGCAAAGTTCTTCAACAAACCGGTAGATGTCCTTATGGAGCACAATGTACTTTTGCTCACGAACATTCGGAACTCAGAACCGACATATCGATGATATACAAGTACAAAACTGAAATATGCAAATCGTAAGTAAATACTCAAATATATTAACGAAATAACCCTAAAAATATACATTTTAGGGAGTACTATAAAATTTTTAATGGATTTGGAAAGGGTAAGAGATGGAACATCGCCCCTTTTCACTGGAAAATAGTTTACATACGGGCTAACAGAATAAATCTGGTGTCGTATCAAAAGCGGCATAAATAGACAACGTAAAAATAGAAGTCAATTTTGTCAATACCCATGTTCTAATATACCAACATTTCGTTGCAACAGGTGGTCAAGGGGATTAGAATGTGCGCATGGTACCGACTGCCATTTCGCCCACGGGGAGAAAGAATTGAAGAATGAATCAGATTTATTTGGTAGATGAATGTACTATCTTTGGATACTTGTTGAAAATTTGCGTTTTTAAATGAACCAAAATGATGAATTGTAAAAGTGTTGACTGACTCGTATCATCACAACTTATAACACACAACTATAAAAATAAAAAAAGACTTTTTGTACTTATGTTATTTATCGTACTACTTTATGAAAAAAAAAATTGTACTTATGGTATTTATTGATACTGAAGAAGTATTCAAGTTAATATTTAAGATTGAACATATTTTTGATAAATAAAATTAAACAATTTTCTATTGAACTCCCTTCATTGTTAACGTAGTTCATCGGCAACTGCTCCATGGAAATGTAAATTAAATGCGTTTGCTCGTTAGATGCGGTTGATAATATTGGATGTCAATATTGTATTTTTATGAACATAGCCGCAGTTATTTTCTCAGAGTGTTTTTCTAAAACTTCAGTTTCCAATAGATTCAAGTATTTTCTCGGGAACTAAATGCACCGTATATTGTTTTCGTTTTGTGTGTCTTTCCTTATTTTGCTGTAAGATTATTTGAAGTTTATGTGTGTTGTATTACCTTACATTAGAAATTTTGTTCCAAGCTTAGTTTTCGTTTGTTTATAATTTCTGTGATAACATGTCACTCTTGAAGCGGGCATCACCATAAAAGTCTGATTATTGTTTGTAAATAGAGTAGCATTTAATGAAAAACAAATGTTCGCGAACATTGTGTGTGGAGTATTGTTAAAAGTAAATTCTACCAAATTGATAAGTTCCTCGAAGTGCTTTTTTACAACTTTTACTCCACAATTTTTGTACGATTTTGTATTGTTATGAAAACTATTTGCATATGCACGTTTGAATGTGTGAAGTGTTGTGAAATAAACTTGATTAACCTAAAACATCTTTTCATAGTCTGCATTGGCGATTCAATGTGGCGTGTTCGTGGTCGTATAAAACGAGGCAGTGCTGGCTGATAGTGATTCTTTTTGTTGCAATAGCTATGCCAGGGTGGTCCGGGGTTGTCGGCTTCGCGGGTCACAAAATTATTTTTGCATTGTTCGCGAGCCACAATAGTGACAAAATAGGTCAACGGTGCAATACAAAACAAACAGTATTATTGTGCAAACACATCGAACATTATTTGACATTCATCATGCTAAAAATCACCAAAAAACTCACTAAAACGTGCAAAAGTCTTCCTATATTTACATTTAGTGTAAGATTTCAAACTCTTCATAACAGAGAAAGTGCTTCCGCGAATGTTAGTGCTTTCGATAACATTCTCAAAGCAAAATTCCCTAACTTTGGAAAATGCTCATTTCTCACAAAATTTCGAAATGCCGGTTAAGATTATATTCTCTTGTCCCCGACGCAACTTGCAGACATATCAAGCAAGCATTGTGGTATTTCCCCTCCCATATCCAGTCATTCCTAGCCAAGTAGATCATTCAACTCTGCTACTTGCGTCAGCTAGCCATAACACTCGTCAATTCGGTGACATTCGTGATGGAACAAGATGTTAAAAGACTTTTCTGGTTTCCTTTTTGTGACGAAACAACACCAAATTCGATTTTTGATCACCCTACATCAAATGCGATGTGCGGCCTTGGTTTGGACCACCCTGAGCTATACAGTATATATACCAGTGGCGGCGCGTCAATAGGGCCAACCGGGGCATTGCCCCGGTTGTTTTTTCGGTATAATAAAAAATATTCGAAAAATACCTCAATATCGGTTGCACAGACTGTCTACAGTCTACACTAGCCATATTCTCCCGACATGGTTCATTTTTCGCTCGCAAAGCCGACATGGTTCATTTTTCGCTCGCAAAGCCTTCGCCGAACGTCGACGGGGCGACGCCGATTTCGCCCCGGTTGCTCATTGTATATCGTATTCTCTCTTTTATCTTCCACTCGCCGCGTTTGTCTCGTTTCTTTTACTAAATCATCGGGGCCGATCGGGGCTAGCCCCGAAAAATATGACGACACAATGCCGACGTTTCTTACAACAACGTGTTGACATATTCACGCATTCCTTCTCGTTCGTTGGTTGCTTGAAGAGTTGATAGTTTCCTCGCCTTCGTTTTTGTCGCTTGTTTCGCTATTTGAATCAGTTAGAGACCTTTAGTCCATTTGCTTTCGATTCTCCACATTCCTTTTGAGCTACTCACTTCTTTCCGGCTTCGCATTTCTTAGCCTTAGACCTCATAATGAATTGATGCACTACTTCGCACTCCGTTTTCGCAGCTGCCGCTGGAACAAAAATTAGAGGTACAACGTCTTGGGCCTTATCAACCAAAAAATTGTTCACTGGAACAATCCCATGACGGAGGAAAGCGTCGGCGTACATTCTGCGCAGAAACTTGGTATAAAAAACACGAATGGTTATGTTACAGCGAGGACAAAAATGCATTTTTTTGTTTTTATTGCCTACTTTTTGCTACCGCCCGTTACTCACGTTGGTGTAAATTTGGTTTTAGAGATCTTAAACATCTTTCCGAGCGTGCCAGGGATCATCAATCTTCTATGGAGCATCTGAACAATGCAGTAAAATACCGAACATTCGGAAATGTTAATATTGCAGCACAGTTGGATGAAGGACGCGCGGTTTCTATTCGTCGGCACAACCAAAACGTCGAGAAAAACCGCCATGTTCTCGGTCGATTGATAGATGTTTTGAAGTTCATTGGTTGTCACGAGCTGTCCCTCCGTGGGCACGATGAACGGGCTGGCTCTTCTAATAGAGGGGTATTTTTGGATATGGTGGAATACACCGCATCCCTAGATACAGTATTGAGAGATCATCTTGATGCCGCAACTGTTTCGAAAGGGACATCTAAAGATATCCAAAATGATTTGCTCGACTCAATGTATAAAATTTATTTACAAAATTTGGCTCTGGAAATTAAGAATTGCCGGTTCCTTTCGAGACAACTGACATCACGTGCGTTTCCCAACTGGCTGTGATTTTTCGGTTTGTGAAAGATGGTAAACCTACCGAGAGATTTCACAGCTTTGTACCAATCGTTGATAGCACGGCTTGCGGGATATCGGCTGTACTGAAAGAAGTGTTACAGCCTTACAAAGCGAAGTCAAAATTGATAGCACAAACTTATGACGGCGCGGCAGTCATGAGTGGGTCGAAACATGGTGAAAAGAAGATTTTCCTCATGCGCATTTTTTACATTGTTATGCACACTAATTTAACCTCGTTATTAAAAATATGTGTCTTGATACCCCTCTCGTCCGTATATTTTTTGCAAATGTTTCGGGGTTTTCTTCATTTTTTTCCGTTTCGCCGAAGCGCTCTGACCTCCTTCGCCAGATATGTAGCCGCCGTCTCCCAGCTTGTGCACCAACACGTTGGAACTTCCAATCACGCGTGGTGCAGGGCGTGTCCGAAATTAGGTCTGAGCTCATTGAGTGTTTCAATGGCATTCAGAGCTCTACGGTTTGGGACGAACGCTCTGTGAGGGAGGCGGCAGGTCTAAAGCGTCTGCTAGAAGATGGGGAGTTTTCATTTTTCTCGCTTTTTTCTCCACAATATTCTATCACGTGGATGTATTATACGGCGCATTGCAGTCAAGGCTAATGAATGGAGCGTCTGTGCAGTCGTGTATTTCAGACTTCTGCGATGCTGTATCTCGTATCCGGCAAACAATAAAATACGACGACACATGGAGTGCTTCTTCACGCCGCGGGCAAACAACGCAGCGTTTGATTTTGTCTGCAAAGGAATGCTGTGACATTCTGGTGAATCAAATAGGCGATCGTCACTGAACACCTTGCCGCGTTCTCTTTGATGAACCGCAAAAATTTTTCAAAATTTGCACGTCAATTTCCCATCCATTTGTTGGCTACTGTCTCCAAATTTTACCCCATGATAAACGTGGGTAAATTGGAAAATGAATTGCGATGTATATACACCAATCAAACTTTTTTGAACATCACATCAACTTGCGCGCTCTATGGGTTCCTCATAGATAACACTCTAGTAACTACCTTTGCAGCGTCTGCAAAATTTCTGGACATCTTTTGACGACGCCTATTTCTTCCGCCGACGCAGAGCGAACATTCAGCACGCTGAAGCGTATTAAAACGTATCTCGGAAACACAATGAAGCAAGATAGATTAAATTCCTTGGCTGTTTTATCCATTCACAGAGACGTTATTTCTGGGATGCATGACTTTAATCAGCGCGTTATTGAGCATTTTGCTTCCAAGAAACCGCGGCGTGTTGCATATATGTTCAAGCAGTAGAAGTCTAGCAGCATATATATATATATGAGTGAGCGACGCATGTCCTTATCTTTGCATTATCTTTCTTTTCTTCATAGTAACGTTTTAAACCTTATTTTAGGTTTTGTTTGCTTTCCCGAAGTTTCTGTTAATATGTCATTGTATTTATCTGGGTAAATATTGCCTTTCCTTTTGAAAGAGGTTTCAAAATAAACTATGTCTATATTTATTAATCCCTTGACTTGGACCGGTTTTAAAGACACTTTCTTATCGTTAAAAATTGTCGCTTTTGCCGATTGATTGTTACCGATGGAATGGTTTTTATACTCATAAAATGATGGGAGAACTTACAGCGCTCATCCTGTCCCCGTAGATGGGGGTGACTTGGTCCCGCAGTAGCTTGCCCCGGTTGTCAAAATGACCACGCGCCGCCACTGATATATACTATGGAGTGTTATAAATGTGGAAAATAGTTCCTCCGAGATATCCCGATACGCGTAGTCTACAAAATATTGCCTCGCAGTAAAAGGCTGCGGTACCCGTCACGAAAATCGAATTAAGGGTTGAAAAAACAACCGATAAAAGTCTCGTGCAAAGAAACCGTTGCGCAACATTAATTTTATGAAGCTTAGTCGATGCTCAGACCTGTAGTCCTGTACGCATCGACTATCTCCAAGCTGAAAATTAGCAATCAAAAGGTCGTTTCCTCATATCTACTGCGATTACGATATCGTTCACAACAATATTTTGTCAATACATTGCCCATTCACGAAGCTGACTCACAGTTTGGAACACACAACTTGTAGTCTATCTCAGCAGGGCTACTCAACTATTTTTACCGAAGATCCGCACACAAAACTTTCGGCAAAACACAAATATTTCGGCATCCTTAAACGCGCACTTCCTGGGCCCGCTAATGATTATTAGCTAATCAAAAATGTTTATTAGGGTGCTATAGTTATTTTCATATATATTCAAAACAATAAAAGTTTTTATAAAGTGAAACTTTAAAAGTGGGGCTAATGATCCAAAATAAAGAATTGGGTGCGGTCCGAATCAAATACTCGAAAGGTCCGGATTCGGACCGTGGTCCGCTAGTTGAGTAGCCCTGGACTATCTATCTTGAACAGGCTTACGTCATAATGGTCACACAATGGCAACGCAGTTGGATACGCTTCATTTCCTATACTATACATCAAACACCAAGGCGGAAAATATTCTGCTTTTAGCGAAAAGACTATGTGTAACCTTTTAAAATAGGTTTTTTATAAGATGCCATCTGCACTGGTATACACTTCCTGAATATTCAAATACAATTCTATTCAAGTTGGGAATTAAAAGAAGTGTGGCGATACATCCTCAAATTAGAGGGCGGTGTTTGGAATTTTAGGAGGGAAGGGGAAGTTTAAAGGAATCACTGATGCTTTGCAATACATTTTTTTTTTTCAATGAATATGCTTGACATGTAACACTAGCCATGGTTTTTGCCAACATCATACTCCGTGCGGCTTTCACTACAGATTTCTGCTGGTATATTTAGGTAGGCTGCAGTATATATTACTGTATTAGCAAATTTTGTGTATTGATATACATCAAAAATAATTTTTTATTTTGTGTCTAAAATGAGATGTAATAAATTAGTCAATATATATATATTCTATATAAACAAACACGACATATCGATACGAAAAACAATAAAAAAAAATAAGAAAAAATGTTGTTCGCATGTTAAAAATGAAACTAACTATATCCGATCGCTAGCGGGACTGTTGTTGAAGTTTTGTTTTGAAATCCACACTTGCGCTGCCGATGAAAATAATTGCAAAAGACAGCCTAACGGCAAGACAAATGATATTGTCTTAGGTATTGATTTCGCCGCTTATATACTGTTGTTATAGCCGGGGTGGACAAGGTTTTTGGACCGGGGCCGTAAAAAGTTACATTTTGTGAACAATATTTACAGTGTTACAAATGCAAAATTGAAAAACAATAAGCCTCGCGCCAAAACTAAATTTAATCGAAATCTCAACAAATTCCTTGAGCTATTTTGAGGCGAAATAAATAGATGTGAAAAGCGCGCCGCCCAATCGAGCGAGCGAGAAAAAACATGAAGATTTGTTGACGTCCCCTTAACATGAAAGTCTGTGGCTACCTAAAATACAACTCGCACAGGCGGGCCTGATTGAATGACCTATCGGGACGGATTTGGCCCGAGGGTGTTATAGTTTTGTATTTTTCTAGTTTTTGAAATTAAAACTCAATACTATTCATAAGTGGAAATTCCCATTGGTGGAAAATTCAGTTACTGGGTTGTTCTCAATTCTGTTGCTAAGGTCTAGACTTGATCTGCCTCTTCACGTTTATTCACCGAATTGGATCGCCCAAATCCAATATATATACATGATTTGATATTGATATGTGTATAAATGAATCATGATATTTCGGTCACTGTCCAAGATGAAGCAGAATTAACTTGACCTTCCATGGCGACGGCATATCCCTTTTCATCAATGTCTAGCCATAACTTGGGGACAGTGACAGATTGAAGATGTGCTTTTCCTGTCAATGTACTGTGGATTAGTCTCAAAACGCGATTGTCTTTTTTAAGATTTGGTATGTCTTCAGGCTCACAGCCTTCTCTAGTTACTACAAGTCGACCAGCTGTGGATGGTACTTCAATATATCCGATTGTATTTGCGCAATGATCTTCAATTCCGAACAAAAATAGATCTTCGGCAAGTTTCCATCCCACAAGTTCGTAGTCTGGGGTATCATAAGATACTTTAACTGCGAAACGTGGTCCTAACTTTCGGACAATCCAACTGGTGTCACTAATGGTATGACGTATTAGGGCTCTGAATTTGTGTGTGTACATGACATCAGAATAATCGATTGTAAAATTTTGTCTTTCTCTACGTATTCTACAGAACAAAAACAAATAATGAATATTGATGCAGCTTTTGTAAATGGGTTTAAAAAATTAGTGGTTGGTACTATTCAGACGTCCAAACTATAAGTAGTATTTTGCAGATGCGATTCATGGCAATTATGAAAATAACAAATTTTGACAAGCACGAAGTTTGACATATGTACCGAAAACATGGATTCATAATATCCTTCGTCGACAGAAATGGGGGCTAAGACCCGGTTCTCACTTTCCACTGTGACGGTGATGTGTTACTAATTATTTTACTAAGATTATGACATCAATACTGAAATCAATATCTCGCCATGGTTCCAATGAGCAAAACCTAATAAAGCTTGGAACTCACTTTCCCGGTTCTTTATTACCCATTTTTTTGACATCCATTTGAAGGAATAAGAACTCATTTGGCGAAGTGTTACGAATTGGTGAAGCAACTCAATATTCTAGGTTGACGAATATATATATCACAAAAACGATACATGCCTACTTATTCAATTTGAGATTATTGCATATGGGCGTCAAATAACACTAAATGTCTCAAATATTAAGCAAATGTTTTATATACTAAATAATTTTTATTATATCTTTCTTCCTACCGCGGGTCAATGCCAATGACGTTCAGAGTTAAAGAGCTCAATCAATCAATTAATAATCTTTACTTGTCATTTGGACGATATCTGTTCTATAGAGTTTATGCTATGTAGTATTAATGAAACTTCTACTAGCGAAGGCTCTGATAGCTAATATACTTCAAACGACTACGCTCTCTCACTATAAAGCACAGTAGTCTATATCTATCCTCTAAAATTATTATTTTGCTAAGCACCTTCTACTGCCACGACAATACCAGAAAATAATAAATATCGATGACATATGCCCACAGGCAAATTTGAATTAGTGATTATTCCGTGGACGGCCCCTATCATAGAAATGGTATTTGGAAATCATATGCGAACAAGTGTGAAATTTAGATAGATGTGTAGGTAAAACGTGGTTCATCTATAGTTCAGTCTTGACCCTAGTAAATTTTTTTGATAGCTCTCTTAATCGATCTACCATTTCTAAAAATTAATGAATAACGTGACACGCACTTGAAATACGCTTCCGGTATTCAAACATATCTATTATATTTTTATCTTCAAGTAATTGTATAGATATTCTACTCTGCATTAATAAGAGTAGACTTTGAAACTGTCTAGGATACATTCTTCCGAGAAATTTTGGTAATAGATTGCTTGGCATTGGCGTCTTTAAGTGACAATTTTACTAAACGCGATTCTTCATCTTGATCAGTGATGGAATTTCAAATTCTCCAAGTTCTCTTTTGTGTCGAACTCGCTAGGAACAGATTCACTGAATTTAGAGTTCCATAATAATACGATAACGTAGTATAAGTTGACATGATAAGAACAACTTTAAACGTTGTTTGCTGTTTCGTTCGACGTCTAAAACAAAAAGAACAGGTTCGATGATATCAACTCCTTTCAAGAACGAATTCGCCATGCGAAACTTTAAATTCTACCACTGAATTTCAAACGTTATTGTATGACAGCGACGGCAAACCTTTTTTTTAATGGTTAAGAAATGATATCCGAATCAATGAGAAACGCCATGTTACATGTTTTTTCGCGCGTCTTGTAATCATGGACCAATGTTTGTGCGTTAATAACGCTACAGAAACCATTGTTTCAAAAATTTGAAAGTAATTCCAAATAAAGTCACTGCCAACCTGTCCCATTATTATTTCATATTTCTGTAGTCGTTAATTCAAGTCTTTAAAAAAACATTCCGCTGCACCACTTGGTTTCTGCACGTCCAAAATGGAACCGTTGTAACAAGACAAGTTGCACGAAATGAACAGATCATTTTAATTTTGATCTCATAAAGATAAACGATATAGCAGCATTGTTCTGGATAGCTGCATGGCGGGACTATTTATCTAGTACTAGTACTCCATTTATCGTTTGTTTTTATCATTTTAATAGTATTTATCACAGAAATATCAATATGTTTTTTGCATGATTCATGACTTGGCGGGCCACTGGAATGACCCTCGGGTCAGTGGTTCACCATCTCTGGTACATGATATGCTAAACAATATTTCAGTCCTCATTTTCACTCTGAACTTGTTCACGGACGCTCTACTCTAATGAGGCACAGCTAGTCTGAGTAATTTTGCGAATTTGTTAATTATTCCTTCTAATAACCCATGACTATCTATGAAGAAACACTAATGCTATTTTAAAGTGCCACGAAGTTCGGTGTTCCAAATTTTCCAATGCGCACACTAAGATTACTATAATATGGAACAACTAGATTCCTGTGGCTACAGGGACCTTTCGTCAACGCATAATGACCGTCATAAATACATTAGTCGTGCTGTTCAACAGGGTGATAATGCATAAATAGTAGGCGCTAAGCGCTGTCACTTAACATCGGACTCCTCATGTACCGGTATGTCATATTTTAACATACTGCTAATCAGCTAACTCTCGCGGCACGTTAGCACAAATGACTGATTAGTTATCACTTAGCTGTCTGATTAAATTCACTTTTACTGAGTAGCTAGCTATACATCAACGGAAACAGTTTCCAAATTGGCGCATGCCGATCAAAGCGTATAGATTGATTACAGAAAGTCACAAGCATATAGAACTGAAAAAAAATCTTGACGAAGCACAATCTGTCCAATATGTCGGAATGACCAGAAAACTCCAAGTAAAATTTACCTGTTTTGTAGAGTTCGAAATCCGTCTGAACGTACCTTACAGACGTTTTTAAACGAAGCATCATTTGCCAATTTTGTGATCGCGTACAAATGCAAAAGGTCATTTGTCTGGTCAAAATATTTCGTGATGAAATGGAGAATACGTTAAATTCGTTCGAAATAAAATTTAACTAACAAAGCAAGTGAGCGCCATTATGTAATTATCTTTATATAGTTATTAAAAATGCGTTTTCCCAACTTTTCTGTTTTAACAGAAACGATCAGTAGTCCATGGAGAAAAGATTGAAACATAATTTACAATGAGATTGCAGAATCTCTCGCAGGAATAATGTTTCGCATTCCAATCGTTCAACTTTAAATGGTCTGTGTTTAGTTGTGATTTGGACTGAGATTTTGCTCCAAAAAATTATAATGTAATTAGATATCAGATAAGTTTGACCTGAAGCATAATGGTAGATATATATAAAAAAAAGTGCCTAGGTGAATTTTATGCGTCATACTAGTTTTATCGACCATGTACACATAATTCTTGGAATTGTCAAACATTTGGCGATCTGTGTAGTCTGTGCAATTGTTTATATACAGTTTTTGAGACATTTGGGCGCACGGTTACCCAACCCTATGTAATATTATTATGCTAATTTTAAGCCAAAACCATAGTAGTAGACTCTACCGGAAGTGATATTTCAAATTCGGTCTCCTTTTGACGTCACATTTGACTGATATGACCATTACTCGCATCATTCATTCACGTTGAAGATGCCTCGTCGCATTGAATCGTGATAAAAATTGAAAATAAAAAACTCTACACGATGCTTTACACAAATTTTGTGGGAAAGGAGAAAATTATGTAAATATTTTTCCATGAAGAAATCGCTGTTTAATGAGGTATAGATCGAACAGAAAATATGACCCATATTTAAAAGTATAACGAAACCTATTTTACAATGGAGTTATACCAAATTTTAATATGTCGATGTTAAGTTATTATGCCAACATTTATAGTCTGCTTTTTTAAGAATTGAAAACATAATTGAAAATGTAGTTCAAAATCAAATTATAGAAGTCACACGTTTTATATATATTTATATAATTAACAGGATTTGAATATCTTTGGCATGCAAATATGATAGTACATGGTTTACTGACTGAAAAGCAATAAACTTAATGAATTCCGGTATTTTCACTTCACGCAATTAAATTTTCTCCCTTCCAAAATTTCCTTTTAATTGTGCAAATTTTCTCAATCGCCAAGAAAATTTATGCCATCAGTGCTACTTTGTGAAAATTTTTGAGTGTTCACGTTTAACGCTTTAAGTCAATTCGTGATTTTGTTTTGGACGAAAACAAAATATGTTTTGTTTTTAAATAATTCAGATCGGCTATAAAGTTGCAATGTTATCATATTTTGTTATGTAGTCAGTCATAGTCAAGTTTATTTTTTCCATGTAGTAAAAAATAACATACGAAATTGACAAAATACAAAATTGAACACACATATTTACTGGGGAGGGAAGTCGCGGGGAACCAGGATTGGTTATCGAGCGGCGTCGATTTCGAAGCATATATTTAAGGAAAAAATTTTCGACCGTGCCATACTGACACAAGATTACTAATCGAACACTCCTGGAATTGCACAGATAGCTGAGTGGAGTAATCTGCAAAATATTATATACATGTTTCAATTATTGGACACGAAATGTACATATGGATCGTTATGTTATTATTATGATGTTGTTGTTCTTGTTGGTATTTTTCTCATTGTTGTTATGAAAAAATCGCTTTACTCATTAACTATTGGACCGATTGCTTTGAAATTTTCAATGGTTAACGCTTGTATTTTTCGCTAGAAGTCTATCACCTTTATTTATTTCATAACTTAATGTGAGCTCTATGTAATTCGTTTTTCACTTTGAAATTTTGTGTAATGAACTCTTCAAAATCAATAAAAATTATTCGCTGCGACCTCGCTCCTATTATTCCCGTGCTACTTTTTGACCGTACCGTGCAGTAGCAGAATAGGCAAGCTACTGTATAACAGTAGTCATCAAACTCTCGGTTTATGGGGCCCGTGAGGAGGTTGAATATTATTAACGGAGCCCCACGAAAATATTATGAAGAAAAAAACGAAAAAACACATTGGTATTCACTGATTAATGTTCGTGAGTAAATTAAACTTACTTCAAAGCTACATTTCGAAGCTACCGTTGTCAAATTTATTAATCCCGCTTTTGCTTCTCTGGACAGTTTCAAAATTAGAAAAGTCAGTATTTTAATAAGTAAATGAATAGCTCGCGGAGTCCCTAGGTTTCTTTTAAATCACTTTAAGAACGTATGCTGTTTAATGTAAGCCAAGATACCGCTTCGTTTTGGCTTTCGTATCCATATATTTGAGCATCGCTCTCTTGTATTTAACACAATTTCAGATTAAAATATTTGTCTATGGTATTGCGATTGGTTGTTATAATCTTTGTTCTACGAATCTACACCTTTTTTAGGTCACGATAAAAAAGGTGCAAGTGCGACATCTACTAATCATTAGGGCATTACTGACAATCTCATGTGTTGCGAGCGTGCAGCTCTGGTGGTTCGGTTTGTGTCGTCATATAAGTAAGTGTAATAGTCACTCTTGCTTTGAACAAACTCACTCCAAACTTATTTGCTGACTAGGGAAACAATCTGTCTTACCATTCATATGATTGTAATGTAAAATATCAACTACAATCACCGGAACCCAGGCAATATTGTACTTTGTTATCTGGAATCGTACTGAAGCTATGCTGAGCATCATGGTTGGGGCATTGCTGCATATTTCGCTAGCGATTGTTTGATTCAATTTGACAAAGTGAAGTTAGATGAACCGTTCAAACAATCAACTTCTGTCGATGATATAAATGTTGGTTAGCTTATTTGCATATATATAGAATCAAAATTTTTCAATAGTTCCAAATATAATATAAAATAATGTTAAAACATATTGATAAACAGTCACTTCACGGATAGTTTTATCATGAATAATGACTTTCATGTATCTAACTGCGTCGTCCTATAACATCCGTTATTTCGGCGATGATAATGTGTTCCGGAAGCGTATAATACATAGAGCCATTATTTTTTGAATTTATTTTTTTGCAGTTTTACCAACTGAGAAAATGACATGACAGAATAGAATTGGACATTTGCTACATCAGTTTTATCGCGTTGAGGGCATACAGCACCGACAGCAGCAAGAAATGATAATGATCATAAAGGTTGTCATCATAACTATGCTATCTCTTAGTATTCGGTAAGTCTCGTTTTAAGTTTTGAAATGTATGAAAAACCTAATTACTGTACTTAAGATGTTGGCATAATAACTGTTATTGATTCTCGTTTCAGTGGAAAGATATACAGAAGACGTGAGCCACACTTATTTTTATTTATTTAATTTAGCTTAATCGTTGGCTCCTATTTTTGTAAATTGTACGTAAACTTTTTGATCAAAGATAGCAAACTTTACACTGCCTCGAAAAGAAACAATTGTAGCTTTTATATCGATTCATAGTTCAAAATATGCGCTCGTGTTCTTAATTAAAATTGAGATTGTAATTACAATTTATTCACATAGTGATAATTTGTCAGTTTAGGAGAAGTGATTTATGCTGCTTAACGCTAAACTGTTGAACAATACTGTGCTCATTTGTCCAAATGGTTAAAAGTGAAATACAGTAATAATGCTGTAACAATGTTTCTGCTTTCAGGTTACAACGATGAAAAGGGAATTCACGGGTCCGCATACGATTATGTGGATGTAATGAATACCTACTATGATCACGTTAACAATGAAAAGAGATACAAACTGGAAGATTATATGAACAAGGATACTGAAAAAGTTAGGAATCACTTTTACGACGTGGTATACAATGAATTGATTGTCTGATAAACTAAGGTCGATTCTTAAGGAAATATTTAGACAAGCGTATAAATACAGTTGCCAGGACTATATTTCATTATAGAAGTTTGATTTTTCACTCAAATATATCTAGCCTATACACAAAAAAATCTGATTCTTTCGCGTTGAAAGACCTAGTAACTAGTTGAAAGGCTCTGGAGTAGACGACTGGGCAGGGCAAAATTGATTATTGAGAAGGATTCTGCTTAGCCTTTTTGGACTCGAAATGGACATAACGATAGTTTCAATATTATGTTGTTGTTGTTCTTATTCTCTGACAAGTTTTTAAAAAGTCGCTTTTCTCTTTGATTACTGGACCAATTGCTTTGAAATTTTCAGTGGTTAAAGATAAAATTTTCGTCAGAAGGATATTACTTTTTTTTGCTATGACGTCATCAAAATTACTGCCATTAGGTGACGCTACGTGTCTATATATTGTTTGAGCATAGCTCTCTTGTTTATTTTATGGAGCGTTGGGGATCATCCATGCGACATGAAAACAATATAACTTCACTTCATGCATTGCCAGAGTATTTTGCAAAATTAGATAAAATATTACAAGCGAAGATTTGACAGGTTACGGTTTCGCAATAAGAAGGTAATTTATTGGAAGACTCAAGAAAGAGAGAGAGAAAGATTTTATTACCACAAACAATATCAACACTATGATGCATTCGAAGCCACCAAAATAATATAATTCAACAATAATTGGTTGATCATTTTTTGTGAGGGTCAATATACAAGATCGGCTGGCCCATAGCCTACTGTATTTAAGAAATCAATCAGATATGGTATCAGCGATGAAACATGGATTAAATATATACCGGAATGTTCGAGTCAATATATTTTAAAGCTAATAATGCAAGTTGTGATGTTAATAAGTCACGTGAAGTTTTGAATCAGGACATGTCCATAGAATCAAGACAATTATCTAGAGTGTATATTCAGTTATTACAATTATTTATAATAGTTTTTGGGATTAAATATTCATTGGATAAGTAACGGGTTCGACTACAAGGAGAAAAAATTATGAGGCAATCGGGTTTTCACAGATTCAACGAAATTTATAATACAGTGTCCGGCACATTTATTTTAAAATATTAAACTTAAGACATATTGAGATATTAGAACAACTTTGAGTATTTATGTAAAAAAACGTTTTTATTTTTTTGAAAACAAGCACATAACTTTTTTCAATTGAAACATTGCCCCAAACCTGTACACCTATATATATATACTTTTTAAAAATATGTTTTGTCCACCTCAGTGTACACTTGCGGAATAAAATAGCGTGTTTAATGAAGACCTGGTGCAGTAATAATGCACTTTTTGTAATGGGATGAAATAGTGCTACAAGGCTGGGCGCTTGAGGCCATTTAAATACCTATGCATAAACTTCGCAATTTATATTGTATACCTATCCAAATACTTTAGGAATTCCATGCTGGTGGTAGAGCTTTAAATTGGTTACATGACTTATCACTGTAAATTCATTCTTGGACAAGTGAAATATGTTTATTATCCGGATGCTATTCTGGTACCATGCTGGTTATGGAGTCTTAATAAGTTCAAATTTTGAAAATCAGATATGATACTGTAATTGTTCTCGTTACCGATAGTTCAAACCATCGTAGCCTATACCACGTCCTCCTTAAAAAACTTTCGTAGGCGACCATTGTCGGATTAGGATTTCAGCAAGTAATTATCTGTACTTGGAGAAAGTTAGCTACAGTATTTGGTTTGAGACGTTCTATCGACTGAAGAAATAAGCAAAAGATGAACAAAGTTTGTTTGGCTACTTATTACCAACTTCCCAATTGTAAATTCACTTTTCCAAATTATTATTTACGCTTTAGAGCGAAACCCATAATTAGGACTTCAATGCGACTCAAATATAAGTGAGTATGATAAAAATATAAGTTTACTAATACTGATCAGTGCGGAGGTCATCGAGGACCCATGTAGCCTACTTGGAAATTTAATGATGACATTTGCATAACAGGACTTTACCTAAATGTCTTTACGCTGATATAACTATGCTGATACCAACGGCCAGCCACGCCTAAATTTACTGAAGTTAATGAGAATTAAATTTGTTGCAGAAATTACATATTTCATATCAAGCGCGCTCCGTCGCCTAATTCACAATTTACCAGAAACTGATATTGTCTCATATGGAATTCCAAGTTCGTTTTGAAAATATTTCAACAATGGCATAATAATATGCATCATAAGTTCATTCATACGAGACGTCAGACTAGAACATCATCTGAGAATTATAAGATTGAGTATTTATACGCGTTTTTAGAATTATATAATAATTGATATGGTCGACCTGTGATAAGCAAGGTCTTTCTAATATTTTCACCTCGAATATCTTGTGTTTAGACTTAGAGTTATCTACAGTCGATACTGCAAAACTCAGCCACTTCACCAAACAGCACATTTACTTATAAAGTGTTACTAAGAATCAGTCCTTAAAAACAGTTACTGTATATTTCAAAAAGTTCTCGTTGTTAGCATGAAACGCGAGAAATATAAAGAGTGGAACACTAGCTGGACGTTTAAACGTGATGATATCAAGAGTTATGGACCTTTCCCCGACCTTTGACCCCCGAAAAATTCTTCTCATACTTTACCATTGGAAAATTTTTGGGGATATTTTAAAAGTGCTTTTGCGAGTTGGCGCCTGTAAAATGGGGTATGTGTTTCAAACCATCATTAGGATACATCGCATACAACAATCTGTTTTTCAAAAATACCAGTAAAGAATTTTAGCCTGGTCTATCACAGCTATTTCTACACTAATTTTTATTACTGCAATTAAATTAAAACTCCCAGGAAGACAGAGTAATCATTGAGTTATTTGATTTACATTTAGATTTCCGAAACACAACTGAAAACTAACGAATAGAGTTCAAAAATGCGCAAACGAGGTAGTGTTTACGACCACGCTTGAAAATCTGTCTGGGTGAGACAAGTGTCTGAGCGGATGCAAAAAGGGAGCATTGTTACGTCACTTTTTGCATCTTGCTGATTAGCCAATGTCACGAAGTAAACAAGGCAGTCGATGCTCTGGGAAAGGTCCATTCATTTTTCAAACCAGAATAAAATTTGCCCTAAACGTGAATAACATATTTGCAGACCTGTAGCTTTGTCATGGATGTTTTTTTTGTTAGTTCGACCGTGTTTATGAATGAGCTTGGCAATTCTGATATCTGATATGCTAAATACAAATTCATCCAAAAAACGTGATCGAATCATGGTTAACTGATCATCGAATCCACCCTTCGGCATTATCATCAAATATTTTTACCGCGTGGGACAAAATTTTTTGTTCAACAGTTTCTCCCAAATGTCCCGGACTTGTCCAGCTTTTGTCTGTTGTTCCGATCGTCTCGCATTTGTCGTCTGATCGAATCCCAGTGCTACAGTCCAGCAGTCGGAGAAGCCGGCCGTACTTGAGCGGCTTGATTATGAAAGAATATTTCGCCGTAAATGGCTCTCGGAACTCACTTCCTGGAGGAGCTAGAATTGCTAAAAAGGGGACTACCAACGGATGGAATTCAGTATCAGAAAGACCTGTCGAGGAAGAAAGCATCGACCATCTCACATGCGAGGATGAGCAGATACCATCCTGTGCAAGTAACATAATGTCACCCCAAGGATCCGGTTTTCAACAAAATGTAGGATTTACAGGACTAAATAATCTCGGAAACACATGTTTTATGAATTGTGTGCTTCAAGCTCTCGCAAACATTCGGGATCTTCGAGATTATTTTCTAAGCCACAATTTTCTTCAAGATCTCAATGAAGAAAATCCACTCGGCACTGGTGGTCGACTAGCAAAAGCCTTTTATACAACATTGAAAAACTTGTGGTCTGGTAATGATACTTATGATCCAGCAAGGTTGCGGAATATTGTAGCAAAAAAAGCTCCTCAGTTTTTGGGAATTATGCAACAGGATGCGCAAGAGTTCATGTCATTCTTTCTTGATGCTTTACATGAGGATTTGAACAGAGTTCGAAATAAACCAATATTTGAAGTGGGTGATTATGATGGTTATCTAGATGAGGAGGTTGCGAGAATTTCTTGGAAATTGTATAAGTCTCGTAATGATTCGTTTGTAATAGATAAGTTTCATGGCTTGTATAAATCAAGATTGTTATGTCCTGTTTGCGAAAAAGAATCAATAACTTTTGATCCGTTTCTTTTTCTATCTGTTCCTTTACCTAAACCAACAAAAAGTGTTCCCGTTATATTCTTCCCATTGCTTGATGACACAAAACCTTTATTCATTGATATCAAAATATCTGAAGAAGGCGGCCTTGCGTCAGATGTTTTAAATCACATCGTAAAGACTTACGGCATAAATTCTCAAAACTTAAGAGTGTTTTTAACAGAATCTGGAAAAATAGTCAGAACTATTCCACCAAGTTCACTTTTGCCCTATTTGACATCACCAGAATCGCTTATCGTGTGTGAGATTTCACAATCTGAAGAACCAAGCCATGAAATCATTCTTATGCAAAAGAAGGAGACTCCAAAGATGGTTGATAATTGCGCAAAGTGCGGAAAATGTGAAGACGAATTGGGCTTCAAAATCAAGCGATGTTTGAAGTGTAAATCAGTCGGATATTGTGGTCAAGATTGTCAGAGATCTGACTGGCCTCAGCATAAGCTAAAATGTAATCAGATAAGATTTATTGGTTGTCCATTGTTTTTGAACATACAGTCATCAATGGCTAATTACCACAAAATTTGTGATATTGCATATTCAAATGCAAGGCATTCAGTGAAAATCCTCAATGATGAAAGAATGGAAGGTATATCAAAGTTTGATGGATTAAAAAGAAATTTGAAAGAAAGTGAAAAAGCAGCAATAGCGTGTGCATATGTTGGAGACTCCCTACCTGCTTATATGAAACACGAGAGCATGTTTAATCTATACATTTGCCATGATGAAAAGCTAACAAATATGACATTGCTCGAAAATAAAGCTGGCGAAAAAATCGATCTAACTGATGTCACACACTTTGTGATTGAGTGGAAAATTGGTGTTAATGTTGCAGAAAAGCCTTTACATTCAGGCATGAAATTTGGCAGGCATAATAATACAACCTTACAAGATTGTATACAATTATTCACAGAGCCCGAAGTGTTAGCCAGAGAAGAAGCATGGTATTGTCCGAGATGCAAGAAACACAGAGAAGCGACAAAAGAATTATCACTTTGGCAGCTGCCCGATGTTCTTGTTATACAGCTCAAACGATTCTCTTTCAGGAACAGACTTTGGCGTGATAAAATTGATAAACTTGTCACATTTCCTGTTAAAGGTTTAGATATGAGTCCATTTTGTATAAAACAGCAGACAGAGCCACCTGTATATGATTTGTTCGGAGTTGTCAATCACCACGGTGGCTTGTTTGGCGGACATTACACTTCTTTTGTTCAATTAGCGGATGAAAATGGCGGAGACACTGATCTTGGATGGCGTCTATGTGATGATACACATGTGACCACAGTCAGGTCAGAAAAAGAAGTTGTCACAAGTTCATCTTATGTAATGTTCTATCACAGACGTAAAAAACAATCTGTTTTAAGTGGGGATTGTTTGTCTGATGATCAATTTACACAACTGAACATGCCCCATCATTCTAATGAAATAAAATGCACTGAACAGTGCTCTGAAATTAAAGACAGAAATGTGAAAGTTCCAAGACAATCAAAGATAGCCAAACAACCAGATGAAAAAAATTCACCCATCAAGCAGAAAGCGTCACAGTCAACACTTAGTACAGATAACAAATTAACAAGTAATGATGAAAAATCTGATCGGTGTCCACACGAAGAAAAAAGCATTGAAATGAATGTCTCAGCTAAAGTCGATACAACAAAACAGGAAGCACCTCTGCCATATACCGATATGGATGCTATGGATTAATTTACACCATTTGTTATGTTCGATGATACTTCCACCCCCATTATAATGCATTATTACACTTGCGTTGTTGTTTGAAACCATATATTAATAATCACTAGTAGAAATATTCTCGAGATGTTATTTTCATGCTCCATGCAAATATCAAGAACTATCAACGTCATGTTGCTCCCATTAAATAACCATTTATCCATAATTTTATTTATTTATTCTCATCATCTCATGCATAAGATGAAATGTTTTTATATTGATTTGTTTTGAAAATCACAACAAGATTGCAGAATTCACAAAGTAGCTAGTCTTCGTCACTTTAAATGCCTAGGGTTATGGATGAAAAGTCCACAAGATGTACATTATATGTTAAGATGTTTAAAATTCTCTGAAAGAATTAAGATTATTTCCACTGAATGAAATTTTTCCTCTGTGTGCCATGTCAGTATCCATTCATTTCTTTTTTTATTGCGTGCCTGGTTTAATTTTTGAGTGCATTTTTTCGACCAATGTGATATTGCTCCTCTGTATATAAATCCCAAATGTTATAGGTGATAGCAATTGGCTAGCATTAGCATTGCTCAATTTGTTCATAATGGCGGCCATAAGAATTAGAAGTTTAGGTTTGGACAAAATGCTGAAATTTTAATGTAGTTTTGAGCTTTTAGTTGTAAACATATATGACAAGAATCTGCTTTCTATTGTTCTCGACTATCCTGTCTGTACACAGTTACATGTATAATAAGTATTTTACATCTTGTGCTTGGTGTACTGAAGTTTTTTTCTTGTGGATTGGAACCCTGGACTATCAGGGGTGTGGAGTCTCTCTGGGTTGGCAAAAAATTTTGTCTTCTCAAGATATTGAGAAATAATTGCAGTTAGCAACAAGCTTTCACTTACCTAATCGGCGTAGACTTAATTTTGTGTACTATAAGCCAATAAATTTAGATTGGATTTCAGATGTGCAGTTCTTAGCAACTCATTTTCATTCAGATTGATATAAGCTTGTTACAATGGAAAAAAACAAATGAACATTTATTTGGCCTATTTCCACTGCAGAGTAAGCTGAAATTACTTGTTTTCAGAGTTGCTTATTACGTCACTCCTATCTCGAGAGAGAATAAATATCTTTTGCCTACTAGCAGTTTCCTGGCAACCTGCAACTATGAATATTCATTCTCCCCAAACTCTAGAGGTAATAAACCATGCGCCATGGGGAAACTTTACTGTAATGGACAGACAGTTTTTCATGGGAAGAATTCTATTGCTAGCTCGCTCAACCTACTGGTTTAAAGTCTGATGCTTAGAAAGATTGCATGAATCTCTAAAGTTCATATCAGAGAGATTTCACTGACAAACAGTAACTAACTTGGATGAATACCTGCTATCCCCAGCAATAAGAAAGACATGCTCGTACCATTCTTATACAATAAATAATTCACATAAATACAATTAAAACAACATGAAAGTTTGCACGATTACAGATTGAAAAATTATTCAGCACCAGCGAGAATTTGCACAAATCAGATATCTACCTGGTGATCAATCCTAAAAAAATAACATTTGAACCAACACCAGCAAGCAATTATCATCAACTTAAGTATGGATATTCTCCAAACAGGTAAAAAAAATCATACAAATTTGACAGTCATTGGTGCAAGATTGTTAAACATAACATCTTGAGTGAATGAGGCAAAAGTTTTAATTGCAATATATTGGTGCAGTAAAATGAAAAAAAGTGTGTGCAAATTCGAAAAAAACAATGTAATACCAAGAAAAGAAAAAAGCAGCATTGCAAAATTTTAGTACCTCAATATATGGTCACAGTTGGAAAAATAATACTGCATGTAAAAAATGACAATCAGATAAATTTAATTCTGTATTGAATGATTCATTTTGATTGATATTCTTGTGGAAATTTGAATACATTTTTATTAATAGACTACTGCAATCTTGTGTTCTATTTTTTTTGACAAAATTCATATTTAAAAAAATATTATTTTGTTTTTGTACAATATACAGCGTTATTTTTTCAGAAACTAGTCAGTTGAGCACAACATAAAAAATTTTAATGAACAATGCTGATTAATTTATCATCAAAGATAAATGAAACTAGTTCATATTTTATCTCAGAGACTAACAATTTGAAAATCCAATCTATTGTATCGTACATGAAAATTTCTTCATTTACCAAATTCAGTGCGGTTTCACAGAAAGAAAATAACATTTCATGAAACACTCCTAATCATAACTGCAGTATTTGTGTGATAAATTACCATTTTATTACGGAATCCATAGAACTACGATTGCAAAGAAAACATAAAAAACGTGAAGTCCCAATGTGTACAATTTACAAAATATACCAAATCGGTCATGGCACTGCAAATTAAAACTTAATAACAGAAACACTGCACACAGTAATCAGTCATCTAATAAATTGAAGAATAATAAAGAACAAAAATTGCACATTACAAAATGTAAAATAGGCAGTTTATAGTTCACCAAGCGTTGTTGTGTAGTCGTGCAAACGTAATACAGCAGATAAAAATAAATAAACATATATGTGATGAAATAATTACAGACACAGTGACGAGCATGCAATATCGAAAAAATATATCCCAAACGACACAAAAAAGCAGCGCAGTGGTTAGGGTACTTGGATCAAATTGCATGTAATCTTGAAGAGGGCATTCTTGAAGACTAGTAGAGAGCTGATAAATGCTAGTGACACAAAACATCCATCAGTTTTGTCAATTTAGTGAGGGAGGGAGGCATAGACCTCTCGGACTAAGGCCCAGTTCAAAAGAACAAACTGGAAATTTCTTTTCAATAGCAATTTTTACAGTAGTTCATCAAACAAATGCTGCATCGCCTGTTAAAAGAAGCATTATGATTAGATAGATGGGATAAGCAGACTAGCATCATCAGTTACAAGCGAAGGCCAATACAGAAATTGTTCCAGTATATGTCAAACCGGGTAAATTGGAATCTTCCGAACAATATACGCATATAAGCTGAGTTTCAAACTAAAAAAAAGCTGCCAAACTAAGGGGTCGGCTTATACCCGCATAACTCTGATCGCACTCAAACGAAATGACATTATTCTAACTTAATTTCAACAGCTTCTACTCGTATGACGTGTTACGATTTGTAGGGTCTTTTTATATGCAGCCTTATAGTGATTACCAACAGTAAATTTGAATTATAAACTGTTTCTGGTATTGATCATAACTTTTTTACATTCAGTGAGGACAAATTCAGTGAATAAACCTCAGAATCACAAGTCTTAGTAATTTCTGAAATTGCCAAAGAAACAAGGGGCAAATAGGGAAATAATTGAAAAAGGAAAGAGCTGAGCAACAGATGTTGCTCCAACAACAAGAGTAAAAATGACTTTATACCATGTATGAAAATACGATAAATAGATTTATTCACTCATCACAAATTTCACGGGGCTATTTCTTCAACCAAACTGACTCTTTTAAGCAACTTCAAACAGGCTGCCATACTATTATATTAATATTATTATTATATTTACCAGGTTTGCTTCTATGATAGGCGGCAGTAGCAGTCATCTGCATTTGCAATAGTTCTAATACTCGTCTGAATCTTCTTGAAGGTCCTATTCAAAATAATAAAAATTTTAGATGCCTGACATATCTCACTCGAAAATAAAAATACCTCATAGCTATTTAAATCTAAATAAGCGGGGTATTCAATATTCCTTTTTTTATTCAAATATATGATTCAGTAAAATCAGAATTTATTGAGTAAACAATATCAATATTCAATTCATTCAATATTTTTGTGAAGCAGACTAAGTAAGTACCGGTATAAAAAAAGCACCCCCCCCCCCCAAAAAAAGACCTAAATAATTTGATAATTACTTTTAGGAAATTTGAGAAAATTGACATAACACTTCATCTTCTGTTTATGTATGATTGTACACAAAAGTTTCAGTAATATAGGATGCTTTGCATAAAAGTTATGGTATCTCTAAAATTTGGTACAAATGACCAAGCTTCCGTTTTTTGGGTTCACCATAGAAACAAACTTAACGATCAGGGCAGACTATAATTCAACTACAATCTGTAATTATGGGCTTCAAAAAAATTGAATCCCTAAATTATCCTTACCTGATAACAAAGTGAACGTTATTAAATAAGTTCCCATGGACTGAACGCTACTTTTTTCTTGTTCACCATTTGGAGGATGACGAATTATATCCACTTGAAACTTGATTGATCGAGTATGAAACATAGATGATGAACCGGAACTTGAAGAACGATATTCACAGCGAAATCGTGTAGGAGCGACCATCGAATGAGTAAGGCTTGACATCTGAAACAAAGAAACCAAAAAATGTCTATTAACAGCAATGCACAAAAAAGGAAAATTGAATGTATTAGGCTTTATTTACTGGTTAAGTTTATACAAATAGGAAGATAATACAAGAGAGCAATGATAAGACATACAAGGTGCCGGTTCGCTGAAAAGATTGGTGGACGAGAGATAAAAGGCAAAATACTGCACAAAAACTAAATAAAATAGAGAAGCAAATTTTTTGTGAAACACAGGATCGCATTTGACTCGTAGGAAATTGGGAAAAAGGGCGATCCAGAAGTATGTGTATCAATATGAAGGTAACTAATTTTGTTCGCCTACTTTACATCAAGTTTTGTAAAAGGACGGAAGCCTATGGTCAGGGGGTATATTCCATTGGATAACACAGACAGTCCCTAAACTAAAATCAGGAAAATCGGAATAAAACTATGGCCTAACGCTAACCTGGTACACATACTACATGAGTATCGAAAAAAGATATATGAAAGTAATAGCCTCTTAGTAGTAAATTTGAGTGATCCATTAGCTGTGGAGAAAAATTGGCGCTCCCGTAATATGTGCACTAAGATGGCGCACAACCTGAACCCTAGCCTGGTACACATACACTATGTTCAGGTTGTGCGCCATCTTGGAGCACATACTACGGGAGCTCCGAAAAATTTAGAAAGATGATAGACACTCCTGTGTCAAACCACACAAAATAGTACCGGTATATGTTTTTAAATACTGGTTTCCAGTATGAATCATATTTTGGTTTGACTATCTAATTGCAATCACTAAAATAGATTATTTTGTTGATTATTCACACTTAATCCAAAATCAATTTGTGATATAAGACAACTTAATTAATTAAAACATTTCATTTGTATTGAACATCAAGACTGAAACCAATATGAGAGTAAAGCAGCAATGAAGCTTTTTCTTGAAGATATCAAGAAGAGACCATATAATAAACTGAACTTTGAAAAACCATTTTTGCTATATTTTACAAAGTAAAATTTGACATATCACAATGATCTTTATGAAAATACAGAAAATCACTAAGAAAACCTGATTTCAAACAATGATATCAGACAATCAAAAATCATATCTGAATTAAATTTTTAACATGGACATAACGATAGAGGTGAAGCTATTGTTCTGTCAAAATTCAAACATATATTTGAAGAGATATGTCTTTTCCATGAAAAAAATTTGTGAAAAAAGATATGACATTGAGATTATATTATAAAACACCAACTCACAGATAAAAATGCATGGACTAATTCTCCTTTCACGCTATTTAATGTACGATCCTTGAAAACGATGGCGAATGGTATTTCATCGCAATGTTCTGTTGAAGAAAACCGGCTGCTTACAAAACTTCCAAACCAGGAGCGTTTTGACAGTCTAAAATGATAAAATAAAATGGATGACAAAAAGAACATTTTCAGCTCTTCGTTATAATTCCAAGTAGACGAAAAGTTTTTTAAAGTAATTTTTGTGAATCAGCAAATGAAAATTTCATTGCAAATTGCGATCCCACTTTAACCCTTTCCATGTGGTGGGCACGTATACGTACCACGACCAAACTCGCTAGATCGCGGCGGGTACGTTGATGTACTCCACTGTTTTATTTAGCAATCGGTCGCAAACTGTTGGTCTAGTTTTTCCGGGTTTTAGTTTATTGATAAGAAGTCTTCTTCGAGATTAACATAAGCGACAGTAAACCTCGCTTTCGTTTACGAAGGGAATTTTATTTGCGGCGGAACGAGGGAGTGTTTTTGTAATTTATGTAAATTTCGGTGTTTTTGGGTGGTAATAGAAGACATATTATCCCTTCCATCTTCCCTCTTCCATCACCAAAGTATTTTAAGTTAGATCACGAAATTGCTACAGCAATATTATGCTATTGTTTGCCAACCACAAAGCGGTAACAGTAACGGATTTAGCAAATATTTCTATTTTTTATCACGGTTTGAAGTTTCAATTCCCAAGAAAAAAAAATGCCTTTTTTTCTATCCAGTTTGTGACTCAGACCACCACTTTTAAAAAAACTTTTTTTTTAAACGCCAATCGCAAGCTCTTTAAATAAGCTTTACAACGAGCCGTCAGTGGGCAACAGAAGATCATTAGTTTTTCGTTAGTCGATCGATTAGTTGTGGGGGTACAAATGCATAAAATCGGCGTAGCAAATACGATTATTTAATAAAAAATAAAAATCGCATGGAAAGGGTTAAACCCTTCACTTCTTCAAGAATGATAATTTTTTATGTCAAATTTTTCAAATACAATTTCTTATTTGTCAACAATTCACTAGAATGACTCTAGTCCATGCTCAGTGAAATTTTGAATGAATATACAACGACAAATATAAAGGGTTAGAGGTGAAATCATTCATTCCTGTAAACATTATTCTCCGAAGGGTAATAGACCAAATACATATGGCCTCGTATAAACCTACTCATTTAAATTGAATATCAAATTAGAAAGCAGATTCCATTTAATTCTCTTATATTTACATGAATTAACAAGATTCTTATAATTGATTACAATCATAAAGACACTCACTCAGAAGACGAATCTGAACCATTTGTAACATCTTCAGTTGATGGTGCTGAAAAAATATGAATCAATTCAATTCGAAAAAATAGTACAGACATATAGAAAAAAAAATTATCTGAAATCTTTGTAAAATTTTGGTAGAGCATGTCTGTATATACAAAAAAAAAACATGAGACTAATTTTATTTTAAATGTTCTATTATGGGCACTGATGGTTGGTTCGAACACTGGACTAACGAAGAGTTGGGAAGACGATTCCGCAGAGGAATGAAATGTGACAGCAAATCTGGGGATGCTTCTTGTAGTACGATAAGTACTGGATCATCGGGACCCTCTGTACCATCTACGTTCATGCATCTGGAATTCTAAACTATTTTCATTGTGGGTCTGGAATGGTAACTGACAGAAGATTCGGCTTACGGCTTTCTCTAACATCAAGTCCATGCATCTGAAAACAAATAATTGGCTAACTAATCTCATACCCGACATGAACTGGAAACCGGACGAGAGGCCGTGGTTTGACATATGATTAAGCTGTCTTATCGATTTTCCTCTCTCCCGGGATAAATATGTAAATCCTAAATCATATCACATTAAATTATGGTTTATATAAGCAGTTCAGTAAAAACAATACTTAAAAATAGTTGCTGAACCTGAACCATCTCTGAGTACAAGTACAATAGTGAAACTGGAAACTGGCAGCTGATGACTGACTATTTAATTCATTTTTGATAACCATGAGTATCCTTTTTGGTTATTCCCGTAGCGCGTGTACCAGGTTAGGGTTAGGCCATAATTTTATTCCGATTTATCCTCATTTTAGTTCTATTACGAGTTTGGGGACTGTCCGTGTTAGCCAAATGAATACACCCGCTGCCCATAGGCTTCAGTCCCCTTACACAACTTGATTTAAAGTAGGCGAACAGAATTAGTTACCTCCATATTGGCACATACACTTCTGGAGCGCCCATTTTAATTATTTACTTCTGGAGTATTATAAATATCGTAGTAGATATGATACTCACGTTGCATTTTTCGTCGATGAAATCTAGGGGATCCCATGAATGTATTTTTCAAACTTGATAGTCTTTGTTTCCATGGGTTAGGAGAGGTAGGAGGTGTCGCATTATTTCTTTGCACTTGTGTTAATACTGTCGTAGTGTTAGTGTGTTGTGGAGCCTGTTGTTGTGCACCATTGCATTTATTCTTTTCAGTCTAAAAGAGAAGATTGGGTTTCAATTTTATAGTAATAGATTCTTTTTTCATAAAAAAACAAAAAATGAAATCCTCCTCCAATGTTATCAAATATATGGCGATCGAGGCAATACAGATGAGTCTGCCTGCCCCTGCTTTATGTCTAAGAATGACAAATTTAACCAGAGCAGTATAATAACTCCAAACCAGGGGCAACGAGTCGAGAGTTTGGCAAGTTTTCATAGAGCCATATTTTCGAACAATTGGGAGTTGAAATTGCAGACTGGCAAGAGTCATAAAAATGTCTAAATACCTTGCAAGAACTCAAACAAACAAACGTTTTCAAAAGTTTATTGAAGAAGATTTTCATATGGCCATGTTTTTATTATTGAAATTTGATTTTCTCTGATTCGAAGTTCCCTTCTAACCTCCGGAAACACCCACAAAGCATATTTATCTACAATTACTAGCAATATCAGTCTATTCTACTTTGCCCCTGGTAACAACATTCAAACCTAAAAAAGTTTGTAATTTTTATGATTTAAAATACCAAGCACAATATATCTTACTGCAGTCAATTCCGCAACATTACACATTCTTCGTGAAGTTGTTTCGCCAGTCAGACTTCGTGACCTGTGGGTAGACACACAAAAATGCTAGTTTATTAAAGCCAAAACATCTTCAGATTTATTTAGATTAAAAATTGTGCCCTAATGCAGCGAAATGATATAAAATACAAAATTTTACTGCATTAAATTTGACATAAATCACTATTTCACTGAGCAAAGAACAAACGTCTTATTAAGCAACATCATTCAAGTTTTTTAGACATCTTTTGCTGGATAAACCTAACAATTATCATCAAAATTTGAATCAATACTTTTATAATTGGTATAGCAAAAGCCATACATAACAGATTAAAATTAGTTTTCCACACTTAATATCAATTGAAATTTAAACTAATCCTTCTTCTGACATACCTTTGATGTGTTTCAGCAGTCGTTCTCCTGCTTAACAAAGGTGATGATTGCTCTGTAAGGCAGAGGCTTTCTGTTGAAAGTTTTCGTTCAACTGTTGGTGCACTGCACCAGTCATCGCTGTTGGCACTGTTAAGTGATGTGGTCGAATCAACACGTTTTCTTGGTGCATCTGTTAATTAACGAACAGGAGTGTGTCACAGAAATAATAAAAATAACAATCTATGCTTGTATATCATTACTGAGGTAGCAAGTTGACTAACATCAATATTATTAGAAATGTTCCAAGTTAGAAAAACAGTAGCATAGAAGAAGTACCACAGAAACCCAATTACTAGCATAAACTGAAAAAATTAAATATTCCAAATAAAAAATTATGAAACCGATACACGGTAACTGAATATCTTTTTTATATTCCCTTGTGCTTTATACTGCAAATTGAGCGATTTTCTGTTGTGACATGTTTTCATAGCATAGCTTGGCACGGCCAAGTTTGTCTGATTTCGAATGAATGCCAGTACTTTCTACACATGCCTTCAGCTTGGAAAACAGTCATATTGTAACAATTTCATATTTACAAATAGGCATTATAAAATGTATAGGACATACTACTACTCCATGCTGTACCGATGCAAATAACAATGTTTGTGAATTAAAAATAATGTCAGAAATTTGCTCAGATAGGTTTAAAGAAGACAATTCAGAATTTAAAATTGCGGTTTTGCTGAAAACAGAACATCGGTAAGCTAAATTTAGGCTAATTTTCAGGATATCATGATTGAAACTATTTTCTTCACATTTTCCTGAACAACATTAACTTAAGTCTGTTTTACAATTGAAGGACGATGGATTGATTAAAATGCCTTCAAACCTGGATGTTTGCAAGGAAGAGAATCTGCATCATCATCAAAACTAGGATGTCTCTTCTTTCTTCTCAATAACATATAATAAACAACTTTTTCCGTATTTTGCCTAGAAAAAAGTTGAACATATTAATCAACACAGAATTAAATTTTGTATCCCCCTACCTATTATTATGATCATATATGATACACATTATTTTTAACATGTAAAAATCACTACTGGAAACTGTTAACAGGGACGATACAATAAAATAAAAGGATCTTTTTGTTGAATTTTTGTTGTCGATGGAATTTTCCAAAACTAATGAAATAATCGTTTCAAAATTTTCAAGAGCTTAAAGTTGGCTGAAGCGACTAGGAGGTCGTTGATGTGAATTGCTGTGGCAGTGGGAGTTCATTTGCAATTTTGATTTGAAACTTTTGAATGATCAGATATTCAGATATATAAATTGATTTTAGTATTAATCGATTAGGATACCTACATTTCGGTCAGTGATTAGACCTTTGTGCCATATTAAGCCTTTTTGTTTTTAAAATAAAGAATTCTCTTCATCTGAAATGTTCAATATTTAACATTACAACACTACCTTACCGTCCTTTTCACAGTTCATTCAAATTACATATAAACTTTGTTTAATATAACTCACCTACTTTAATTACAAATCATATGTTAGTCAGGTTTGACATAACCGTTAAGCTAGGTAATTCATTATACATATGGTGTTCCATATTATACCACAAGTCCAAAAACTATTGATAATTAAATGGGCTTCTAACGGCAGGTGTTTTGCAATTTACCTTATCACATATTCAATGGCCTTCTAACTTCATTAAATAATCATGACCATGAAACAGCTTTGAAAAAATTTAGCTTGGGCCACACATGACTGACATGAAACTGGAAGTTCTGAATAACAGGACATTTTACCAGTGACATGAAAATGTGAAGCGTTGACTGGTGTCTATATATTTTTTTACAAAACAATGTTACCTACGCCTTAGTTAATTGAGGGTTAAATTTGGGTTAAAAAAAACCAAAAATATTTGAAAACATATTCACAGAGCAAAAAAAACTTGTTTGGGTTAAATCTCAAGCCAATGGACGTTTCCCCAACCTTTGACCTATACTTCACCATTGCAAAATGTTTGGTGCTTATTTTAAGAGTGGTTTAGCGAGGCGCCTGTAAATGGGGTATTTGTTTCAACCCATCATTCTGATTCAAAGCATTCAACATCTATTTTTCCACATAAAAACAGTTCAATTTCTTCAAAATTCAATATTTCATATTTAAATGATATTTCAGAATGCGCCAGTAAATCATTCGATTTTCAGTAACTCCTATTCAAAACAAAGTAGTAAAATCACTAGCATATCCCAGTGATGAAGTGAGATCAAAATTAAATCGCACAGGCTAAGTATGGTATAAAAATAGAATACAATAACAAGGGATGTATGGACCGGGGATAAACAAAACACATTTATCCAGAATACAAAATAAAATAATATTTCAGATTCAAAAATATCAAATATATTCTTAATAACTATGTTTAACAAAGAATATGTTAAAATTAGTTCTTCATTATTTATAATAGTTTTCATAAATCAAATATTAAATAAAGTCTGGGCTTTTTAGTCATGATGCTCGAATCATTTCAAATATACGATTTGTTTTGGACATGTCTGTGGTCTTGTGAAGCAAATGCTGTAACTGCTTAAATACCCCCAAACACAAATGTGGTGTGAAAATGAATGCTGTAGGTGCTAATAACGCCAAACAAAAATGTGATGTGAAACTACAAACCAAATTTTCATTCTTTTTACAAATAGAAGTCTTGTGTGAACACAATGCCCTAAACGGCATGGGACATACCTGATTAGTTGAAAATTGATTAAGTTCGATTTGTACTGAACACACTTTTCAAGAATTTCTTTCTGCGTCATACATTAAAATTTCACATCACATTTTGTTTGGCGTTATTTGAGCAGTTTCGGCATTCATTTCACTTCACCTTTTTGTTAGCCAAGCAGTTACAGCGTTTACTTCACTAAACCCCATGTCCGAGTGTATCCCACATATAATTATGCCCCGATTGACAAATAAAAAAAAGCGTTCTACTTACTCCTCTTTCAATAAATTTGAAACAAGCTTTTTCTTGTCACAGAAGCATCCTAATGAAGTCATTGATGACAGAACATCAGGGTCAACAGTTTCCTCATCAGGGACCGGGGCACAATCGATGATTGAAGGAGGTGGCTGGGGTACTTGGGTCACACCTTCAACGGAATTACTACCCGGCCTCATCCACTGGTGTTGTAAAACTTGTTGAAGCTGTAAGAATAAAGTTTGGTTGAATTATTCTGAAAAATAGGAAAAACTGTCAATGTGACCTTGCTTTGAGTAAAGTGGTTGGTCAGCTTAGGTGAAATAGTAGCAGAAAATATAGAATCGGTCAATGCTGCATACTAATTAAGGCATGAGTCATTAGTAATCATTATCACAGGCATTGAAGTATGGAAAATCAATATAAAGTTGTTAAATTAAAAATTATCTGCGCTGTAACGCTGGGATGGACCATACATAATTCCTGCCACCAGACCAATGTTTATATGAGAACCATACATAATTTTACATAAAAATATGTTGTATAACTTTTATCGATGTTGAACGAGATAAATTTCCCGAATTGAATAATAGTACAACTTTGGAGAACAGAAATTGAAAAAAATATAACACTTACGGATAGTCGTTTTCCTGGTTTTACATCTATCATTCCTCGTAATAAATTTTGGGCATCAGGTGGAACAAAATGTGGGATATGATACACTCCACGTTTGACTTTTTCTAGTAACTGACGAAGGTTATCATCATCAAATGGTAAGGCTCCCTGTCAAAAGTTGCATTTATTTTATAGAAACTGATATTGTGATAATTTTTGCTGGAGCTGAAAGGAGTTTCATTCCTACTATTTATTAAAAAGAAATTTTTCCAATATATGAATGTAGAAAATGGTCATTGTTTTGCATGTCTGATTTTAAATTAATTTCTGGTGAAAACATAGCAGGAGGTGAATAGAGCAACAATATGGAAAGGGGAAACAGTGAATACTATACTGTACGAAATTCATATGTAGCTTATCAAATACAAAATGTAAGTTATGAACGGGACTTGATACTAAAGCACCGCTTGATAATAAAAACAGGTCAAGATTTAAAGACAACTTGCCTAAAATACATAGAATCGAGCATGGTCAACCTGGTAATTTTATTATATTGTTATGTTTTGAAGAAAAAATATTCTGGATAATTTATGATATAATCACTATGACCAAATTTCGCCACTTCAAGTGGACAAATTGATGAGTATTTGTCTAAAATTAGACTTTACTCTGCATCAAAAACTCGTATGTGTGGCACATTTATTGTAACAAATATTTTTCCGATTTTTTGAGGAAATGCAAATCTTAATCAGCATTCAGTGATTGCATAAATTTTGTAAATTTTTTGTCATATCTATTAATATTCACTTCAAAAATTGGTGAACATTTAGGTTGATTTCATCTCATAGATGAAGATAAAACAGAAAGGGACACAGGTCAAAAATAAGGAAATAACAGTAGGTATTTATTTTGGAAGACGTGGGTGTTGTTTATAATAAGAATAAGGATAGATCTTAAATACAAGAGCTGTATGTAGCCTATGAAAGCCCTGGTAAATAATCTGATTAAGTTTTGGCTGATTAAACTTAGGTTTTCAGTTGCAGTAGAAAAACTTCGTACTCTGTATTGAACTTGAGGTAGCTTATTCATTAAATAAAGTAAATTTAAGTAAGAAAATTTGATTTTAGAATATGTTCTTAAATGATATTTTTTATATGAACTTACCGGTAATCAATATGCATGATATGCAAACAATGAAATAATATCTTTAATACAAATAAACATACCAGAGTGTTAATAACTACAAAGATCAATAAGTTCTACTGTGAACCTCCAACATATTGGCAATGGCTATCAGAAATCTATACCAGAATAGGAAATTACCCAAGGGTATTGATTAGTGATTAGTTGGTTTCCCATGTGCAAAGCCAGATTGTAAGCTGCTCTATTGAGTCATATTAGGAAACTGCAAATCACAGTACATGAAGAAAAATATTTTATTATCTGGATGGTTTAACACCTGAATGACACTAGTCTATATTAATTCGAGAGTTTCAAGATAAAATGGCGAATGTTAACAAATCATTTTTAAGCTGGTTATGGATCGTTAATCAAAGTTTGAAGCAATATTAATAACAGTATTTTAACAATAAGTTAAGTTTGAAGTAAAAAAAAAAAAAAATTCCTTCCATTTTTTCAAAACAGTTTTTTTTTTAAGTTTTTTCCTTTTGTATTAAAAGCCCTCTAATTACAGAGCCTAACAATAAAAAATGCTATTTCAATTTGTTCGGCATACACAGGAATAAAAATTTCCAACAAGATGGTATCTACTAACCCATAAACATAGAAGAAAGAATCAACTTCAAAGAATCCCCTAACACTTGAGTTTAGATGATGTTTTTATTAGTCGTAAAAATTTTCATTTCTCTCTCCTAGATTATAATTGCAATAAAATATTATTCTAACACTAAGTTAGAGAAAATTTTAACAATTCTCACTAATTGGGATAAAATATTTGCCAACAAATGCATAAACCCATGAAAATTGAAGTATAAATAATTAGGGAAAATCGTGTCAATTGAAACTAAAAAATATGCCGAGATAGGATTTATGAACAAAAATAATCATCAAAATCTCTTAGAAAAGTACAAACATATCCATCTTACCACAAGTAAAGCAAAAAGTATGACACCGCAACTCCAAACATCAGCTGTACGACCATCATATCTTTCACCCTAAAATATATGATTTGGAAATTCGTATTATTAAAACAAAAAAATTAATTAATATCATTAATTTAGTATTTTACAACTATGCTATGTTTGTAAAAACTGCAGGATATACCCTACCTCGAAAAGTTCTAAAAACCAGAAACCTATTACAAGATAAATCTGTGACATTGAAGTTGTGTTGCATGACCATCTGCAGCAGTTGCAGATGAAGCTTCGAGAAGAATTTATTTTGTTATTAAAGATTTTCAATTCTGACCAGCACTTCTAATGACTCAGTATGGCTGAGATTAGGAGGTAAATATTGTTAGTTGCAAACGAACACTAAACCAGGCTTCACTTATCAGATTTCAGGCGAACAAAAAAAATTAACAATTACAGTAAAAACTATCCTCAAAGTTTTCAACCTTTCCTACATATAATATCTTGATAAGAGATCTATAAATACCACAATGAGAATCTGAGACCATACATATCAGTGTGATTTTTCTAAACAAAAGAGCAATACTAAACTACAAGGACATGAAGATCCAATGACTAACATTCGTACCTTCTATGCTTAAACTCAAACTTATTACCGGTATCTAATCCTTCAAAAGCTTTGAAAACAAAATAGAAAATCAAGTGTTGCCAACATAGCAGTTCACATCGGTACCGATAAGGCTGCAGATGGGCAGTGACCATCAGCTTTGTCAGAAAGATGTCAAACTGGTCTGACATAACGCCAAGTGGAAGCGCAATATTCATAGAAATAGCAATATTTTGGGTGGAATATCGATCCCATACCTCAGTAGTCAAACATAATTCGTTCAGGATTCATGTTCGACTACCGAAACTTTTTTTGCGATAAGAAACTATGGTAGCCTAGTCCTTTTAATTCGCAGTACCGCAGCATTTTTGACTAGAATTTTTGGTCAACTATAGAATTGGTGTTTGACTACCTGGGTATCACTATACTAGCCTTTTAGTAGCTTTATTAATTATCTACAAATACTGGAAATTTGAAAAAGATTGGCTCATTTGTTTTGTAGAAGAGCAATTTTATTTCCAAATGTTTCTTCAAGAACAGCACTTTAGAAAACAATCCACCCATAATACACATTGTGTGTGCAAAATCATTGCAGATGACATTCATATGTATTAGCGGAAAATCACTTCACGACTTACCCTAATAACTTCAGGACAAGCATAATGAGGAGATCCGCAACTAGTTTCCAATAAATATCCTTCAGGTTGTAAAGATGCCATTCCAAAATCTGCTACTTTGATATTATTTTTTTCATCCAGTAAAAGATTTTCAGGCTTCAGATCTCTGTGACTGCAATGTAAAGGATATGATATAATCAGGGTATAATAATGAAAATAATGTTAGGCCTGCAATATTCCGGTTTGATAGTAAAGAACCAGACTAACATCATTTGCGTATTTTATGGCTAATAAGCCGAATTGCCAAATAGGCTGAGGCCAATTTTTAGCACGATAAATGCTGGGTGCCAAGGGAGAAAAATTGGGTTACATTTTTTTCTCTGTTCGTCAGTTAGGCATCACCTTCAGTGCCTATTCTTTTGTGTGGCATGCACCAAAAGCGCCTTGTTTTTACGTGTTATCCCATAGGGCCCACCGAAATTTTTGAAGCGAATAAAAGTAACAGCCTTCAAACAAAAAATATATTCTTTACCCACTGAAAATTTTAAAGCAACTGGTCCAGTAGTTAAATGGGAAAAGTGATTTTTCCATAACAATAGGAAAAATATCAACAACAAGAATAAGAACAAAAACAACAACATAATAACAAAACGACCCATATGTACAATTCATGACAACTAATAATCACAGTAGAGATATTCCAGATTAACAGCGTCGGAATGCAGATTCATGAAAACTGACAAGCCCCCTTTTTCGATATTTTCTGGTTGGAAAACCAGCAAAAGAATATAGGCTTATTTTAGGCTATCATATTGATGAGTGTTGGTATAGAATAAAACATTAATATTTGCCTAAATCTATTAAATATATTAATAAGATGTAGAGTAGGAACACATTAGAAAACAGCATATCGAAATTACAAAGCTGTATATATAGTGCAAAATTCTGCAAAAATATAAATATTGGTTCAGAAAATATATATCAGCTATTAACTTACCATACATTATGATTGTGGCAATAATCTACAGCGGAAACAATTTGACGAAAGAATCTACGAGCCTCTCTTGGTATTAACCTTCCTTTTTGCACCAAATAATCAAACAATTCTCCACCAGAAACAAGCTCAAGAATAAGATATCTGAAATTTCAAAAACAGTTGTATTTGAATGTCGTCTTTCATGATTTATTATTAGGCAGACATTCTGATGATGAGAACTACAAAAATTTCTGAATAGTTTGAAATATTAGAATGTCTCCAGAGCTGATTTTGTATAATTAAAAGTTTGAGTCATACTGTCGTGTAACTGCATTCAGGCTGATTCATCATGATAATGGTCATACCAAAAGTCTTCAATGACTTTAGAGTCGGAGCCCATGTCAGGTAAAAGGTCCGATGTTGGAGTTTGAATGTACAGTGGCTCCGAAGCTGAAGCCATTGTGATATAAAACCAGCTTCCCAGACCTGGTTTTCACACCAACAATCCAAACAAGCAGCCCAGTTGTTGATACATAAATGGCTACTATGTTTAGTAAGACGACAATCTTGGTGGTTTGAAAATACTTGCCAAAATATTATGCAGTGGGTGAAATGGCAGACATAATGCTATAGTTATTAGGCAGTTACACCCAATTTAAATTCTATGTAGGATAATAAACAATCCTGTAATGAACAATAGCTTACAAATATTTTCTATTTTCATAAACATCGTGTAATCCCAATATGTGAGGATGCTCAATCAACTTCATGATTGCTATTTCCCTTTCAACCTGAAAGTAACATTGTATTTATTAGCTACCAACTTAAAGCATTGAGAAGTAAAGTTTATTCACTCAAATTTATAATAGAATGTACCTTATTGATGACACTTTCACTCAGTTTTTCTCTGTTCACAATCTTTACAGCAACTTTTTTTCCAGAGACACAATGCACTCCCAGCTTCACAAGACCTTTACGAAAATAATGCATCACTGTTTTAGGCCTACCATAGTATTTGTATAAATTTCAAATAATTGCTTGAAATATAGCCTGCATTCCAATCACACAAATATGTGGACCAAACAGAGTTTCTTTTTTCTCAAAAACATTCAAAGGGCCGATTTGAACTCTTGCTTGACATTAAGTCAATATTCCACTTTGAACTCCAAGTCATGAAATTTAATAAAACCAACAATGAAAAATTTGTTAAATTTCGACCCAACTCCAAAAAAGTATGAGATTCAAGCTCCTTATTTAGTGTAATCAGTGGTACATGTTACCAATGCTTAGGAACGCGAGAATAGAAAATATATTTTAATTTGCCACAATTTATCAGTTGAACATACATTACAAATCATTGAATAAAAAATAGTTTATTGTACCTGTTTGGCCTTTCCCCAAAGTTTTTTCCAATCTATACGGTCCCACATATTGGCCAGGCAATGAAACAGACATTCTTCTTAATTATGTCTTAACATTTGCCGTTCAAGATAAATAGACTATTATTGATAACTCAAATGCATAATTTATCATCTTTGAAACGTAGGCATGGCATGAATTACTGACCTAATGACAAAATATGGATCTTCTTGATTGCGGTGCGAAGAATACGCATATTTATTAACACTATGAAAAAAAAAATTTTATCAAAATTATAATAGGCTATTATAACCAATACCTATTTACAAATGTCAGAATGTAGCCTCAATTAATCCAACACCAGCTGTGGCCTTGAAAAATAATCTTATTCCTATTCTTTTCCATTCAACTGCGTAATAAACAAACTGTTTACTGACACATAAATGGGGTCCCGGTACCACAAGTACTGTTGGTGGGCGTAACATATCGAATTTTGCATATGTTATTCCTAACTCCCACCTGACTATGTCATCCAAAATATATGTCACTACGACGTCACAATCACGTCATAGAGCTTGCCAAAATATAGCAACAATCGCCCGAATAAGCATCTCGCCACCGTTAACGAACTAACGACAGCGATCTCTCTCATATCAGAATCCTTGTGACAAGAGCAATAGGTTGCTCTCGGACAGCCATCCGTATACTTTGAAGGGCTCTATTAAGCCACTGTGACGTGATTTTTTTGTGAAATAGTCATAGAAATAGTCTGCAGGTGGGGGTTAGGATTGACATTTGCAAAAATTGTTGAGCCAGGCCAACTTGAAATGCATGTGGTGTTAAACTATACCAGACCCCAGTTTATTACAGGTGACAGGTCTGGTGTAGTTTAGTACAACATGCACTTCTAGTTGGCCTGGCTCAACAATTTTTGCATATGTCAATCCCAACCCTCACCTGACTACGTCATCCAAAAATTACGTCATTTCGACGTCACAGTGGCGTAATAATGACCACCAAAGTATGCGAATGGTCGTCCAAAACGCGTAGATGAGCACCCGAAATCGAGCAAGCTATCTCTCTCGTTTTCTCGTCACAACGATCACGATAGGCGAGAGATCGCCAGCTTAAGCGACTTCGTTATCGGAGGCGCAGATGTCATTTCGGGAATCGTAATTACGGTATACTTTGGCAAGCCCTTTGACGTGATGGCGACATCGTAGTGACGTAATTTTTGGATGGCATAGTCAGGTGGGGGTTAGAAATAACATATGCAAAATTCGTTATGCTACGCCCACTGGAAGTACCTGTGGTACTAAACTAGGGTCTTGTGTAGATTCGTACCTAACGTACTTCTAGTAGGCGTAGCATAACAATTTTTTAACATGCTAATCCTGGGTCTAGTATAGTTTAGTACCACAAGTACTTCCAGTGGGCGTAGCATAATGAATTTTGCATATGTCAGTATGTTGTTCCTAACCCCTACCTGACTATGCTATCAAAAAAATTACGTCACTACGGCGTCACCATCGCGTCATAGGGCTTGCCAAAGTATAATTAACATCGCCCAAAATAGCATATGCGCCGCCGATACCGAACTCGCTAACGACGGCGATCTTTCTCCTATCGTGATCGTTGTGGCGAGCTAACGAGAGAAATAGCTTGCTCGATTTAGGGTGATCGTCTGCGCGTTTTGGACGACCATCCGCATACTTTGGTGGGCCTTATTACGCCACTGTGACGTCGAAATGACGTAATTTTTCGGTGAGGTAGTTAGGCGGGGGTTAGGATTGACATATGCAAAAATTGTTGAGCCAGGTCAATTACAAGTACGTGTGGTACTAAACTATACCAGACCCCTAATCCTAACCCTCACCTGACTACGCCATCCAAAAATTACGTGACGTCACAATCACGTCATAGAGCTTGCCAAATACTCGTACGATCGCCCGAAATAGCATCGGAGCCGACCGATAAAGAACTGACTAACGTCAGTGATCTCTCTCCTATCGGGATCGTTGCGACGAGAAAACGAGAGAAATGGCTGTTCGATTTCGGGATCTCGTCTGCGCGTCTTGGACTTGGATGACAGTTCGCATAGTTTGAAGGGCTCTAGTAATTTTTGAATGGTGGGGTCAGGATTGACATGTGAAGAAATTGTTATGCTACGCTTACTAGAAGTACGTTAGCACTTCTACATGAGACCCCTAAACTATACTAGACCCATAAACTGGACGGGAGGCCGTGGTTCGCCATATGATCTGTATGATTGAGCAGTCTTATCGGATTTCCTCGTCCACTAGATAAATATGCAAATCCTATCCTAAAATATAACTTTACCCGACTATCACTTGATCTCAAATTGCAAAACTATCACAAATTCGAAGCATTTCACTTGCCATCCACCAACGTGACTATAACATGATAGCCACTTTGCCATCCACCAACTCCGCCACAATCATGCAAACCGAATCGCCGTATCAATAGCTTTCGCATATTGGCGCACTAGTGACGCAAGGTGAAAAATCTAGTTCTTACTTTTTCAATTTAGAGAACTATATAGGCAAATTGTACTTTTTAAAGAATTGGAGACAGATGATGGTACAATCTTTACAAATGGTAATGATATAGACTACAGGGAGAGCAGAGATTATTTTACAAAAAACTTTACGCCAAAAAACAATTAAATGCAGAGCATATCACCGAGCATCGACTTCCTTGTTTACTTCGTAATATTGGCCAATCAGCAAGATGCAAAAAATGACGTAACAAGCTCCTATTTCGCATTCGCTCAAACACTTTTTTCACTCAGACAGATTTTCAAGCGTGGTAGGATAGGATTAACATATTTATCTTGGGGGAGAGAAGAGCCAATAAGACGGCTTAACCATATGGCGAACCGCGGCCTCTCGTCCGGTTACCAATCCATGCCGGGTATGGGATCAGTTAGTTATTTGTTTTAGGAAGCATGGACTTGATGGTGGAGAAAGCCGAAACCGGCCAGCGGTTAAGTGAACTACCTTACGTCAACGAAGAGTCCAGCAATCCTCAATTCGTACATGATTATCTCCACGGGATTCGTACCTGCGAATCCACGCAGTGTAATCAGAGGTGAGGTGGCGAGCGTAATCCTAACGCTTAGCACGATGAGCCACACCGCCGCGCCAAACCTATATTGAGCATTGTTTGCAGCGGGAAAAACCTGGTATTCTAGAATCTAGATTATCGCTGATAAATTTTGTCGTGATATCACCGATATCATATAAAATCAATCTGATAGCTTTACAAAGACCGCAACTTTGTAATTTTAGGGTTTGCTGCTTGTTTTAGTGAATTTTTTTTTAATTTTTTTTGTGATATCACCGATATCATATTAAACTGTAAATATTTACTACTCTGATAGCTTTACAAAAACCGCAACTTCGTGATTTTAATGCTCGCTGCTTGCTTTAGCAAAACTTTTTGGACACGTCAGTGTACATAACGATCGTTTCAATATTATCTTGTTGTTCTTGTTAGTCTTTTCTTTGGTCATGATGAAATCGCTTTTCTCTTCGAATACAGGACCAATTGCTTTGGAATTTTCAGTGGTTACAGATTGATTTTTTTTTGCCAGAAGGCTATTACTTTTACTTATTTCAAAAATTTCTGTGGACTTCAGGAGATTCGTTTTTTATGTGTCAGGATAAAAAATAGCGACACCTTGTGACGTGTCCATATATTTGAGCACAGCTCTCTTGTTTTTTTGTGATATCACCGATATCATATAAAATCAATCTGATAGCTTTACAAAGTCCGCAACTTTGGAATTTTAATGCTTGCTGCTTGTTTTAGCATGCTCGCAAACATAAAAAATAAAATAAAAATAATTTCAAACATCAAATTTGAGTGCTCACAATGTTTTGCGTAATTTCATACCCACATCGGATTGTATATTTTAAACCAAAAATGCTACCACTTTTTAGGAACATTTTTCCTGCGTCTGTGTGAAAACTCATTTGATAACTTAACCATGGCAGCATACCTTCAAATTTTCATTTTTCGCAATAAAAATATATCGCCAGAGAATATAAAGTGAATGTCAGCGCGATGAATAACTTTCCAAAAGCTTATTTTATTTCTCCCCATAGGCCTTTTTGTACATAAATTCGCGTATTTTAGATTGAGCCAGGAATGTTAAACATTACCTCGTTTTACGCGTTTTTTAACTCTATTCGTTAGTTTTCAGTTGTGTTTCGGAAACTTAAATATAAATCAGATAAATCAATGATCACTCTGTCTTCCTAGGAGTTTCAATTTAATTGCAGTAATAAAAAATTAATGTAGAAATAGCTGTGATAGACTAGGCCAGGGGTGGGCAACTTCTCTAGTCGGCGGGCCAAATGTGGGAAAATAAAGCCTTGGGCGGGCCGGATTACTACAAAAAATACTTCGGTATCCAATCTTTGTTAAATGCTCGACACTCTCTGTCAACTTCACATTTCTTGGGATATTCCATGGTTAATAAAACCTAATATAAAATCTAATTTCTAAAATATTTTTCTATTTATATTCTAAATATATATAACTGATAACAGTAGTGGGGGAATGTTTACAACGCTCTCTGCTTTGACCTTATATTGTTTGTTTAACAAGTGTGCTAACGCAATTGTTTGTTCACTAAGGCAATTAAGGTTCACTAAGATAAAGTATGGAAAGATTTCTCGGCGGTCAAAGGCCGGGTAAAGGTCCATTGTTCTCAATAGACTAGGAGAAGGCCTATGGTAGTGTAGAAGATATGGAATTTTTGTTTAAAGTTTTGAAAAAATTCAATTTCGGGCCATTTTGGATATCTCTTATAAAATTAATTTACACAAATACGAAGTCGAAAATTATAACCAATTGTTAGATTGGCAAGGAATTTATAGTTGAAGGAGGTTTAAGGCAAGGTTGTCCACTGTCTCCGATACTTTATTCTTTCATTGCTGAAGTATTTGCATGTAATATTCTCAAAATGGTTTGCACACAGAACAAAACAAAAACAATAATATGCCATTAAACAAATGTTTAAAAACGTTGCAAATTGGCATGGTCATTTCATGTTTCATCACAAACTGTTTATGCATATATAGTAGGCCTACCAAAGAGATTGTTTGAATTATGATTCAATATTTAGGTAGAATTTGCAGTAGCGATAATAGCTTTTGTAATATCTGCCGACAGTTGAGTTTCAATTTGATACTCTACTTCAGGGTTGGCAAACTACAATATAATCTGGCCCGCGACGCTTCACTGAATTATA